GTAGTTCAGTAAAACACTGGCTGCTTTTGGGAGCAACTAGTGGACGAGGGGACGCCCAACCCGAACTTACTATTTGAAAACTCGGCTCAGCATGGTCCACTGCGAGGTAGGACATGTAGGTGGCGAACCCTTCGTTCAGCCAAACGTCATTCCACCATTTCATCGTCACTTGATTTCCAAACCACTGTTGACGAAGCAAAAATTCAGCAATCGACCTGCTGCAAAACTCGACTTCGCCTACAGAAGGTGCCACTTGTCATGACAGTGAATATGTCCATGAGGTGTTGGACATTTTTTAATGTATGTGTGTCATTCCAGGAAACACTTGCCTGGTGTGCCAACTCATGAGCAATGATAGTGGCGATTACTTCCTTGTGCAGCCATGAGGACACTCCTTCCTCATAGAGCAAAGCTCCTTCCTGGTACGTGATAAGACCCCAGTTTTCCATTGCTAACGGTTCCAAGTCCGGCAGAGCAACTTGATCTAAAGGACACATACAAATCAAATCATAAGTTACGCAACCTGTATGATTCTGCTTTGACAGATTGTTAAGTTATATAATGGTCTTTGTTGTGGTTTGAGAACAAGTGGTTAAAGATAAAATAGACATATATCTGGTTTTCAATTCAAGAAATGGAACAAAATTGTCACATTTTGCATTGGTCCGTCAGTCAAGTTTTAAAATTGGGTGCTGTAGTTTTACCGAGGTTCTCCAGTCCGAACTGCATCTCAAAATGCCTTTCGTAGAACTCGAGGATCTCCGCAGTTGTTCTGGCGGCGTAATCCGTGTGTTCGGCTGCAATGGCTTCAGGACGGGCGTAGGTCTGCATGAGAAAAACACAAACATGTCATCTTGCTCATTCTTCAGAAACAAGATTGTTTTAGAAGTAAACCAGGCATAACATCATGAAACAGCTGAACTGAAAGATCACGACTCTGTCGCCATCTCTTAGCTCCATCAGTTTGAACAACAATACAGATGACTGCAAACTGAGTATGTAGCTCAATGTTATTAAAGTTTAATCAGTAATACTTTTATGACAAATTTATGTCAGATCATAATTTATTGGTTAATGTCAAGTTGTCATAGCCAAGACATTTTGAATGATGTCAACTTTGTCTTAAAAGTCTCATGATTTACCAAATGACACTTTATGACAGCAGTCATAAATCTCCATGAAGACTTATTCATGTTTATGACGGCGTCATGTCAGTCTTATTCACAAGCCGTCAAATAAAGTCCCACCAATTATTGTTTAGCAATTACTTTACCAACCCGAATGCTGAACAACGAGCTATTTCTTAGACTTGCAAGTTCACACTCACTCGAATTTTCACACGATTTTCTGGGGAATTTGTGGCCTCGAACTCTGAGATTGTGAAGGCAAGTAAATAACTTGACATCTTTGGCGTTGGATTAAACTGTGTGTATTTCCACTCTTCATCCATAATAGAGGTTCCTGAGAAAACAAAATGATACACAATAGCACGAGTCAGTGCATCAGGCCTAAAAATTAGGATTTCTGCTTTGTTTGATTGTACTTGTTTGCTTACTTTCTGGTACTGTGTTTGATAAAGCGAATGTACCCACTCTGTGGATTACTGTCAGCTCAAAAACGGCCTTCATGTCGGGCTCGTCAAAACATGGAAACAATCTCCTCGCACTCGTTGGCTCCAAATTTGTGGCTACGAGGAATCTACGAAAGAGACATTGCAGTAAAATCAAAAGAGAAACAAACAGGGATGCCTTCTATACTTTAAAGACAGAATATTTAAAATTGTCAAACATGGGGATATTTATTTACCATCTCATAAAGTCGAGGAACCAAATTGGGCCAAACACTGCAAGACTGTGTTATCACTATTTACCTCAAGAAAACAAAGACTTGAACTTGAAAGACTATAATGGAGATCCAGAATATTTACTTTTTTTATTTTAAAAAATATATATTTATTCTTTTGGCGTGTCACGTTTAAGATCTTTTAAGTTTTAAATATCTGTTAAAAGTTTTATTTCTTAATGGTATAAAAGCCTAAATATTTTCCTTAGAATTAAACTGGATTATTGTTTCATATTGAAGTATTTTATTTTTTAAATATGTTGTTTCTCCAAATAGAAAAGCATTTCCTTGTTCCATACATCATCTTTGTACTTTCTCTGTCACACCTAAGCTTAAGAGAGCATCACAGTTTTTTTTTTATCACTTACCTTTCCTGTATTGTGTCATTCACAGCATCAAGGTTGGTTTCTGTATATTTGCTCACATACATTGCTTGAAGATACTCAGATATTTCTCCCTCAAAGGACAGAGACAAGCTGTAATTCCCATCTGTCTCTAAGTTCTTCCCCAACTCGATCTCCAAGAAGTCAGACTCGTCCTCGTGGTATTGGTGTGAGAGGACTGTCACTTGATCGTTCTTGTCGTGGTCTGTCACCCGCAGAGACGTCACGTTCAGCTCGAAGCTGTGGAGGAAGATGTGCTTCGTCGGCTGGTGACAGCGGAAGAACACGGTCGAGCTCCCGTTGAAGAACAGCGTCTGGTTCGGGGTCGTGACGTTCACCTTTTCCACGATCCTGCTGTAGAAGTGAGGATGGAGGAGGATCTGGTATCGATCGGGAATCAGGGACCTCGGCAGCCGCATGACCGGCGGCGGGGCCAGAGTCGTCGTCGGGACGGTTGGAAGCTCTGTCATGGTTAGGTTAGAAGTCTGTATCTCGAAAAGAATCATCATGGAGATCATCCCACCGATGGCAGAGACCGTCAGGACGACGAAGGCGACGGCCAAACCTTTGGATAAGGCCGATTTTCGTGGCATTGTGGCAGCTTCCTGTGGCCACCCCTGAGGCGTCGCAGCTGAAGTTGAATCTCTGAGCGCGTCTACCTGTGAACTAAACCAACTTATCTGCAGGCATCCACCTTATTTCTCCCTCATAAACAGGGCTTGGCTTTGAAATTATAGGTCTGCGCTTGGATTAAGCATTAACCTGGGCACTGCCAAAGGAGCAAAGAGTAAGTGTTGGAGTGTGAAGAGGGCGATGTTCATTGTAGATAGTCAGGCAGTGCTCTCTCTCACACATCTGGAGGCGGTTACTTGGTGCTCACCACTAATGCGAGGGTTAGGTAAACCTCAGGGAAGGCTGCAGTTTCCAAACCATCACACTTTCCTCGCTTCCCCTATTTAGAAACACAGCACAAACTGTAAAAACAAACATCACCAAGTGTCCGTCGTGACACGAAAGAAAACGAGCGTCTTCTGATTGTAGCAGGAGTCCAGGTGTTCAGTCTGCCACCGTCGTCAGCCCCCCTCCCCTTCCCCAAAGGGTTCCCATCCAACAGGTAAGCAGGTCCTCGCTGGGGAGGTTTCCAAAGACATGCATCCGTAAAGGAAAGCCCTGCGAGATTGACAAGCTCACAGCAAACAGGACGCAAATGAGAAGAGGATGTCTGAGGGGGCTGGATGAAAGAGGTGGAGTAGAGCAGAAAAAAGAAAAAGAGAGGACTGGCTGCAAAGGCTCGTCCTGAGGGAGGCCTCAACCACCATCACCTCTGTGCTCGAATTTCTGGCGAGGGGCTATGAATCGGCAAACAGATATAGGAAAAGGTGGTTGTTAGTGAAAAGACCAGATGTTCCCGTTTCAGACAAAACGTTGTAGACACAAACACAGCATGAACTCTGGTGAAGCACCTTAGACAGTGTTTCGGGTTGTTTTTTTTTTTAATTTAGGCCACATATCAGAGGTTTGGCCGCCTTACAGGTAGGTGTCTTCTGTTTTACCTTTAAATTGTCACACCTACATATCTGGTGCCACGTGAAAAAATACTGAACTCCGACACCTCGTGAGTGATGACCCTACTTTGGCAGGAACAGCTCCCATCGAGCATTTGAAATACGTCTTTCACACTCAAGCGAAGCTCCGCTCTTCCTTCAAATGATCGTAATTCAGCCAGGATGGAAGCTTTGAAAAGATAATTTAAGGTCTTGCTGTGGAAGCTCAGTCAGATGGCCAGGCCTCTCCTTAACCTTAATTTTGTTTATGACCATTTAAAGGTCGACTTGCTGCGGAGCTTTGGATCATTGTCCTAGAACCTAAGTGAAGTTGAGAGTGTGGTTGCCGACTGGTCTCTATAATTCTCCACTGGGATTTTCTGGTAGAACAGAAATGATAGACCATCACTTGACCACCATCATGGTTTACTGTCAACATGGTGTTCTTCTTGCCATATATAATGGGAGGCACGCTTTTTTTTTAAATCAGTGCACAAAATATTTTTCCAAAAGTCTTAGGATCATCAAGATGTTTGATTTGGACCTTTGGTTTGTTTTGGTTTTCAGACCATTTTAGCTTAGTTTCTTTCTTGCTGTTAAAAGCAGTGACCTTAACCGATGTAATGAGGCCTGCAGCGCTTCAGATGTTCTGGGATGTTTGTGGCCTGCCAGATGAGCAGCCGTTGCACTTTTAGAGTGATTTTGGTAGACCAGTCACATCTGGGACGGTTCACCACTGTCCTACGTTTTCCGCATTTGTGGATTACGGCTCTTGCCGTAGAGATCCCTGGAGTCCCAAAGTATTAGAAATGACTTTTGAATGTTTTTATGGAGAGTTTTTAGCCTACTTCATGCTGTCAGACATGTCCTGTCTCACTTTCTGAATTCTATACATGTGGTGGTACTCAGATCTGGGGTAGGTGGGGAAATTAAACTAATGTCTCCAAAAAATACGGTGACTCTTGGTTCATGACTTACAAAGGTGGCAATCAACTTTTCTTCATTTTACAAAAGGCCAGCTGGTTTTGATAGCACTTTTCTCTTAATAAATGAAATAATACATTGAGAATGCATTTTATATTTACTCTGTCTTTGAAAGGAAAATGGTGAAAAAAAAATAAAAAAATCGGCCCAATGAGAGACGGCAGAACAGTTCGAGAACACTTTGGGGTTTCCTGGATTTATTCCTGAAGTAGATGCAGTAGCACAAATAAAAAACAACAATGAAAAAAAACCTGAAAGACCTGTCTTTTTATTCTTAAAAACAAGTGGGCCAGATTTTACAACATCTGTCCAAATGTCAGCGCCTCCTGCTCATGTGAAGGACAAATGAAATCCTCAGAAACGGAAAAATTACTCGTCACTCATATCATTCTGAAAATTTGAAGTGACACGGGTGTGTTTAACTGGAGAAGAAACCTGACCACAACAGAGCAAAAATGAAAAATGTCAAGCTGCTCTCACACACATTAAATACCCAAAAGCTCACTGTTACACAATGCAGCAGCAAACAGAAATCTTCACGACCAAATCTTTGAAAACGGGGACATCTGCTGGCCAGGAGGAAAACTGCGGATTAAACTGCCCGGATTTCTCTGCAAAGAGTCTCGGAATGTGATGCGTCGCCCTCTTCCTGAATAAAACTTTCCATCAAGGCGACAGAAATGTGCAAAATATCTGCAAAATCAAGACCTGCGGGAGTTCTTCACTCAAACACCATGAAAACAAATACTTCAAAAAAAAAAAAAAAAAACTGCCAGGTCCTTTTACTGGAGGAGGAACGGCACAAACAAAACAAACTGTAAAGGAGCTCCAGCCACTTTTGAACAATGTGGTCCAGCACTGGAATTAAGTCTCATTTTGCATTCCTGGCCGACTGTGATTGGAATTACACCGGCTTAACAGCAAAAAGTTGAAAGTATTCAGCAGCAGAGTCAGGGAGCAAAAACACACAAACCGTTTTCAGCTCATTTCCAGACTGGAGCTGCTCTGCGGCTTTAGTTAAAAAGCCCATTGAAACATTCCTTACAGCAATTTTCAGTCCTAAATATTGTCTGCATGTTTGACTTTCACCTCATCTTTTTTTGTGCAAACTTCTCTGATGCTTCTCCGTCATTTATCTGAAGATAAACAGAACTGTATTTCATTTAAACAATCAAACAAACATAAATTTTATAGCACAGGGCATGACACGTTTCAAGGCTTAGAAGGCTCAGTCTGGAGAAACTGGTAGAAGAAAGGCAAAATATTTTGGAGAATTGTTAGACACTGTATATATTTTTAAGAAAAAGGAGCAGAACGTTTTTAATTTTAAAAAAAGTTAACTTTTTTTTGTAACATTTCAATTCATTTGCTTTTCACCCTGAAATATTACAAGGTCACTCTAATTGGGATGAGTCCTGTTCTACGCTAAATACAATTTGATAAAGCACAGTTTGTGATACATTTTCTTCATTTTACTTGAATGTAAAAATGTAAACTTTAAAAGTGGAAATTTTGGGGGGGATCTGGACCTGATCTTGAAGAATCGACAGGACAAACGAACAGCACAGCAGCCGCTTTTAGTTCAAGGTAGTGAATCTATCAGGACATTCTTAAAGTGATCAAAATCAACGCAATAGCGAAGGATTTCAGCTGCTGTTTCTGCTTGTCTAAACATTTACTTCTTTTGAGTATCGCCCTACGTTCAATGTTTGTTTCCTAGAGTGTTTATGCGTTTGTTGAGTTTAAATAATTTGCTTAGAACAGGTAACAGTGCTCCTGAAGCAGGAATCACAGTAAAAAAAACAAGCCAAACATGATACTGCGCTATGATACTGCGAAGAAGAGCAAAGGATTATATAATGGTTAGCGAACTTTATGGTTGCAGATCTATTGTATTGTTTTCTATACTTTCAAAGGTGGTTTGTGTTTCTACAGTGGAATATAAAAAAATGTGACTTAAGCATGGATATTTGAGACCAGAGCGGTTGCAAAGGATGCCATCTAAATATAGATACATATAAAAGTCATCCTTAATTTAAAAACAGTTGTTTTGTTTTTGGAATATGAAAAAAAGTCTGGAAAAAAAATGTCCACTTTGTTTTCTTTTTTTTTTTTCAAGCTTCCTTAAGACTTAAAAATTGGGACTGAAATGTCAAACTTTTTATTTAACTGTATAAACATTTGTTCTAAAATTTTGATTTCCCTCCGCCCCCCTTTATTTCTGACTGTAATCCTACAGAAACGCCATCAAATCAGTGGAGATTACAACCAAATGACTCAGAGAACCACATTATTGCTGATGATTATCATTTTCATCATATTTTTATAAATATTCAACTGAGTTCATGCATGAAAGCATAACGTTTCATCTTGCATGAAAATAAATCCTGAAAATATTTTGCCTTTAGTCATACGCTGCTCTTTTCCTTGACAACAAATGGTTTAGAAAGTTTCCAGCTAAATAATGGCGGTTTTATCCTCCATTCAGTCCTGATCCAGGTTCTCGTGGCTCTGCTCGTTTCCTAACCAGTGCAGCAGCAGAGCCCGATCGGAAAGAAGCGCTGCTGCTTTTTGCAGATTATCGAACAAACGATCACAACTCTGCTGCGCGTCACCGCCTCAATCCTACATGTGTTTTTACACAAGGAGCAGATTCCAGTTTAGGAACTGGGAGGATCCTGCAGTCACATCCTATTTTACTTCTGCAGCAGCACACAACTTCTGTGTCCTCTTGCGGAAACAGTTTGTTGGAATAAGAGCAACAATGTGGGGAGTGAAAGCAGCGTTTTGCTTTGGCTGGAATTTGCAATACACAGACGGATCTTCGGTCTCAGTCAGCTGACTACCACAGCCAGCTGTCTAGATGCTGCACACAGTAGCAGGACTGTTCCAGGATGGCCGTCAGCTCCCCGTAGCTCTTCTCCCTCCAAGTAGGAAGGAGCCTCTCGTTGTTCAGGGCCTGAAGCTTTGGCGTCCCCTGCTGGAGGACGTGGTACAGACAAGGCCACCTGCTCTGGATCCGGAGCCGTGTCCTGCGATCCAGCGTGATACCGCGCACTATTTTCTTGGCTCGGAGTTCTCTCAGTGCCGGCAGCTTCAGGCAGGAGAAAACCAAACCGCGGCTGGGCGAGACGTCCAGGAACTCCAGAGTCTCCGATTCCAACGTGTACGAGATCCCCAGGTTCCTCAGAGGCACCAGGATGTGCAAAGTCAGCGACTTTAGGTTGGGCAGGGAATTGGTAAGCGTCTGGAGCGTGGAGGGCGTCACTAGTTTGAAGACCCAGAAGTACTTGAGCTCGAGGGTTCGTAGCTGCTGGAACCGGGTGAGCAGGGACACAGACAGATCCGACCAGTCGAAATGTAAACGCATCTTGGAGATTCGCGGGCAGCTGTGGGTGAGTTTGCCGAGCAGCTCTTGAAAGCTGGTCACCTGCCAAACCAAAGAAAAGAAGAAAGTTCCTGCTATAAGCTCAGACTGCTGGAGAACATTGCAGCCACTGTTTACCAGGTGCCACTTTCTCCTGCTACTCTCCATCTATCTATTATTTGATGCCATCATCTTTCTGGCCTCTCTCAGTTCTTTCGATAGAAGGTACACCCAGTCTAGTGACTTTATGTACAGCTGTGTCTCTATCTTTGTCCCAGGGATGGCGGTACTGCAACAACTAACTTTGGGAACTGTTCCTTTTATGAAGACAATGCCCCAGGTCCACTGCTCGTCAGTTTAATTATGTCTTTTTTCTTTGATGGATCACATAAGGCTGAACGATATGGCTGAAAAACATACGATAATATGAGCATTTCTCATCAGTTAATATCAGTATTTGGGGATATAGATAATGATTAGTTTTTTTTTGTTTTAAATGTCTGAAATACTACCAAACTGGTGGAATAACCCTTCACGTTTCATCTAGTTTTCACTTCAAGTTGAAAACTGACACGGTGGTGAAACCTGAAGCTGCTGCTGCACAAGTCACTCTACAAGTTGTTGCTAGCTAGCCGAGGAGTGAGTGAGTTGTTGCCACCGATCTTGCTTAGCCAGCTGTGAGAGGCTGAGCAGATCAAATATTTTCTCTACCTACATCTCCCAGAATGCTGTGCGGTTCTAGATCGGAGTTCGGCGAATATTCTGCATATTGAACATTGACTATTCTATCAGATGTATTTGTTGATATTGATCACGTGTCTATCATAACAACGTTCACTCTCCTTGTTCTACTTTAGCTGTGTTTTTTAGAGCTGTATCTGCCATACTAAGTATGTCTATCCTGCACTCAACCACTCAATGCTGTTAATTACCTGGTCCATCTTGGTGATGCTGTCCTGGTGTGAACTGGAGCTGGAGTGCACTCTTAAGTCCAGTGGCTCGAAGAGAGTAAACGTCCAGTTGAGGTCCAGATGGCTCAGGTCTCTGCAGTGGACGTTGTCCAGCAGGTGACTCAGCAGTTCGCTCCACTTGTTGTAGTGGTCTCCCAGGTCGAAGCTGGCCTTCAGCGTGAGCAGGCTGGCCCGCCGGGAGATCAGGTGGTGGGTGTAGTGGTGGACCCAGGCCTTCCATCGCTCAAACTCCCGGTTGGAAACAAGCAGCCCCTCCTGACCCAGATGGAAGGCGCCGCGCCGGGAGTAGTCAGCAACCCGCCACAGTTTCCACGACCGGACCAGGCAGCTCCAGCTCAGGCAAACCAGCGCGCAGCTGCACTTGTCCACCTCGTTCAGGAAGGACAAGACGTGCAGCTGGCACTCCACCGGCAGCGAGTTAAAGGGGAAGAAGTCGTCCACGGCTTTCCGCCTGCTGCTTACAGGGACGAGAAGTTTTTTCTGCGGCGACATTTTTCGACGGATAATTAAAGGCTTGTGTTTTACTGGTGGAGGTCAGAATCTCCACCAGAAGGTCTTGTGTTCTGGCTTTGCCATGAATATTTCCGCCCTGAAAGACGATAAAGACGGGAGAGTTTATTTTAACCACGTTGTAAAATAACGTGGTTATTTTTCCACGTTGTTTTTCAGCTTCTGATTCCTAGAAAAACATACAGTGAAGTTTTGGACCCGGACTATGTCTAACATCAACACAACAAATAAACCTTTTAATCAAGAGCATAATGACAAAAATGAAACAGAAAACAAATGAATAGTAATAAAGCCTTTTTCTTTTTGTTTGTTTCTTTGACTAGAAAGAAACAAAATATACTTACGTCTGAAAAGAGGACTTCGGATCAATAAACAACATGTTCTCCCTTTTCACAATCCCACCAAGGCTCTGTTTATTCCTGCACCTTTTCCTTCCACTGAATGTTTCAACATTTGGTTGTTCACAACCCACGTGATCAGTCAGCTTCTTTAGCCGTAAACGTTTGTGGCCCACAATCCCTGTGGATGGTGTGATTTACTGTGGGTGGGAACACTGCCAAATCCCTAATGATTTTCTAAGGAAAACATAAAGTAGCAATTCTGTTTAAACTCTTTTTTTTTTGCAGGTCTTGTGCAGTATTCAGATACATTTTGACTTTTCATAAGCTGTAAGCCGTAATTCTTGATACTACAAGAAATACCAGAAATACATGTGTGAAATACATTACTGTGGAAAATGAACCTATTTGAGTTTTACTTTAAGGACACAATTGCTCAAATAAAAGTGTTGGAATTGTACTCTATTTTACTCAGATGCAAACATATTTTAATTGTTCTAAGATTTTAACATAATTGTTATTGTTTTTTTCTCTCCTATTTTTTGGGCAGTGGAAACGGGATTTACCATGGTTCTGATTTACAGCTGGCAGTGAAAGTCCCGAGGAGAAAAAAAACTGTTAATAGATTTACACCAGATTTGCTTTGCAGCGTTTCTGGAGAGCCATACATTATTTAACTTTTTTTTTTTTTTTTGTTCGCCAACGTCGGCATTCATTAGACTTGATGATGCTTTTCCACACACGGTTACACAGACGTTTCACAGGCATGCACTGACAGGAGTTCTGGCTCATGTGGCGTTCACTCTGTCTCTGAGGACATAGAAACCCGACCAAATATCTACAATACTCTGAAGCTCCAAAGAGCAAAAGCTTTTTTTTTTTCTTTTTTTTTTCAAATTGGCAGGCAAGCCAAAAAATAAACTGATTTAAAGTTGGGCAATATTCAATGTCGAAACTAATTTTCTCTGTGCAGTGTTCTGAAAAGCTAAGCCTCTTATATCTGTGGCTTATCCCTCTATGTTTCACTGGTCATACAAAGCAAGACTAGTTTCAGTTTAAAGCACCAGGCAAGTGAAGAGATTTACAGATCGCTTGATAAGCTTCATCATAGCAGACCACTTCCACTTAAGAGTCGGAATACGTCAAAATGGACATTTATAACCCTTCAGCAAATGTCCAGGTCAGAAAGAGCCTGAAGGCTGTGAAGTGTTGGGCATAAAGCAGAATTCATTCTTCCTACACATTTTTTTTTCTTTTTACATTTTCTAATTTCATACTATTGAAAGTTCACTTTTTTTTTCTCTGGGAACTTCTGGACACTTATTGATGTCTACCTTAAAATATTCGCTGTAAGACACATGCACACCTCAGTTGATATTTACACTTCAAAGGCTACAAATATTAATACGGAAGTGCCACAATAGCTGTGAGCTCGGCCCTGCTGGACTTGTTCCAAACATGAATGTGATGTAAAACCGCATTCAGCATGCTCGCCTTCACATATCAAACAGTTGGACTACAGCTTAGCTTACTGGACCATGCAGGCTAGTCATCTCAGCCCCGTTATTCACATCCTCGCCTTCTAGTTTCTAAGCGTTTGCACAATAAAAGGCTACATGCAGATTATTATGGATGCACACTGCACAAACAGTAACTTTAAGTAAACGCGTTACCTTCAGCTGGAAGAGGAGAGGCTCCGAGTTACACTCGGTTTTAAAGCTAGCATGCTAGCAGACAAAGACTTTCAAATTCAAAACAAATAAAGGACTAAAGTCGAGGTTTTATAGCATTAACTGCATACTCGAGTGAGTAAGTAACTGTTAAGACACCGATAAAAACAATACGAAAAATAAAATATGTTTAAAAAAATCAGAATAACTAGGCCGGCTAGTTAGCTTCAGAGCAGCTGAGTTCTGTTGTTGTTGTTGTAGATAAAGGCGTCATCAGCACGTTCTGTCAGAGGAACGCTGGTGCGAATGTTTTAGACACCGGAGCTGCACGGAGGGCCGGAGCTTAGGACGGAAACTGCAAAAAAAATAAATACATTCTAAATGTCGAGCCTCACAAAATTGGCAAAGAAACCAAACTCTGAATCTAAAAATGTCCTTTCATAGAAAACATTGAATATAAAGAAGACGTTCGGAGGTGACTAAATGAGAAAAAGAAATCATTTGAGAACTAAAAGCACGGGCTCCCCCTGGTGGAGAAAAGAAGTTAGCCATTAACGCCTTTGTGTTGATGGTTTGTAGTTTTCCTTTTGATTTTTGAATCAAGATCACTTTAAAAAAAACAAACAAACAATTAAGCGCATTTAAAAAATAAGTGGTAACGGAGGATTTAGTTTATTACAATTTAGTATAGTCTTTAGTAGACAATAATTAGTTTTCTGTTCAGTTTAATAGCCAATATGCAAAAAAGAATCTACTATATATGAAAGCTGACATGCTTCCAGATAGTTTAAATTTACAACTGTGCACAGAATGCATACTGTTGAAAAAAAAAATAGAGAGAAGCCCTTTCTGTTTTGTGACAACTGTGGAAGTAAGTAAATAAAACCTGGAATTCTAATTTCAGTGGTTCTTTCGTCATCATGTTGCGGTTTTCTGCTTCCCTGTGTTGCAGGGACTATGAATCTTACACTACCTCGTGGTTCTGGTGATGCTGGAGGATTTTTTATTGGAGGGGGGCCATTTCGTGTTACGTGAGAAACGAGACAGAAATGCGAAACGTGTTTGTGTTGCATTCAGAGACTCGTTGAAAATATCAGAGAATAGCGAGCGCTTCACAGAGTCCGTTATTTTTATTTTTGTCTTCTTTTGGTATCTGAATAATTCGAAATATTTTATATTGTATGAGAAATTAAGAGATAGGAGTAAGAAATACAATTACATTTTGTTTAAAAATGTTGCTTTTAGATAAAAGTTACATTAATGAAATGAATTAAGGTTGTTGGCTGGTTCTGGCTGTTAGTTTTAGATACGCTTTGAAAGCTGTACTGATAAATTAGATAAGATATATATATTTATATATATATTTTTTTCAAAATACGACATGATTATTTCTAGTATTGATCAAATAATAGATTTTTATTCATTATCAAGTGTTTGAAAGACCCTATAAGCATTCTGAGTGCCACTGTGAACCTGGAAAGATACTAAAAGTTTGGCATGAGGCAAAATTGTTTACTTTTAACATCACGTGATTTGTGTGTGTGTGTGTGTGTGTGTGTGTGTGTGTGTGTGTGTGTATTTCATCGTCCTGTCGTTAATTTTTAAAAGCAAGAAATCGAAGGGAACAGCTCCACAGTTTATTTTTTTCTTGTACATTTTCCCACACTCTTTGAACGCATCGCCAGATTTGTTGTGGTTGTGTTCGAACCAATCAGAGAGCAGAACAGGCGGCCGCTTGTCCTCCCTCCGCGCCCCGCCCCTTCCTCTCATAGTCTGCGCATCCCTCATCCTCGTTTCATTCTCCGCAGTTTCAGGCTCGGCTTCGTCGCTCATCGCTTTGATATTCGCGCTCTTTGGCGTTTTCAAGTCGACACCACGCAGAAATACCGAATCACAAAAACGGGGCTTTGCTTTCCGTGAGCATCTCGAGAAAATAACCGAATTGAATCCACCTGCGACACAACCCAGAACGCGGATACTGCGGAGTTTTTCTCTCTCTCTCTCTCTCTCTCTCTTTTCTTGCTTTGCTGCTTCATAGAAAGAAATAAATAAACAAACATGAAAACCAAATTCATCAACGGGGTGTCGTCGTCCCCCTCCATGTCGCTGGGCCTCCTGGTGACCGCCAACGCGCTGCACGTCCAGCCCGACACCCAGGAGGACTCCAGGGAGCTTGTGCGGCCCGAGCAGCCGGACCCGGAGACCCGCCGCAAGGCTTATCTGTGGTGCAGGGAGTTTCTGCACGGAGCCTGGAAAGGACTGGCCGAGGAGGACTTCGAGATCACCGTCATAAGGTTGCAAATTGCGTCCGCTCCGCTCCGCGCGTCTCTGTCGGGCGTTTTCTGTTGGATCTATTGTGTGATAATGAGCCAATAATAATGAGTCAGAAGAGCCATGCGACGCTCTGAGTTGATTGAAAATGACTGAATGCGTCTGGATCATTTAGTGAGGCGAATGACTGAAATTTGTCCTTCCAGATCTTCTTTAAACACTATTTATTTTTATTTATTTATTTATTTATATTTGAATATTCTAATGTAGGTTAAGAACAGTTTTTGGGGGGTTTTTTGCTGTTCATTCTCACAGTGCTTAATGTGAAGCTATATAGAAAAAAATAAGTGAATTATGCCCCATTTGAACTTATCGGATGTGACGTTTAGGCAATTTTTTATTATATATATATATAAGGTTCTACAGATGTAAATTCTAAATTTCAGGTGTTTAATTGAGTAGAATTAGTCATTCAGTAATCCTCATTGAACCTCAGATGTGCCTTTAGATGTTGCTGTGGAGATGGGAGTTTTTCCAGTTTATCGTCAGAAGAGTTGAATGGTGAAGTTTGGATGGAATCAGGTGTACATAAAGTCTGCAAAAGAAAAGAAAAATCAAGCTTAAATGTTTGGTTTAAATCCAAACTGACTTTTGGAGGCTTAAGGGGAACATTTCTGGTTCAGATGTTGACTTCATGACCCGATAAATAAAACTGATCACCTTTATTCTTACCAGAAGATGAGTGCAACATGTTATACTTACGGGACTTGGTTCTTTAATTTCACAGAGACCTAATACTGTTTCCTTTTCTTTACTTAAAAAACAAAAAAATTTTTTTTGTTTAAATCTTTAATTTGAAGCCATATTTGGCCACATTTGCAGACGTAGAGGCAGATATTTACTCCAAAAAAGACAAGACAAGTAACTTTGTTACTATTGTTGTTTTTTTATTAGAGACCATATTCAACATTGATGCTCCTTCTGGAAGTTTCAGATGTCCATGTTGCACCGTGTCTTTGGGGAAATCGATGAAGATGTTCCGTTTTGTCTACAGCTTCAAATAGGCCTTGGCTTGCTGAGCCAGAGTTACAAATGTATACTTAAGTTGCAGCAGAGCCAGCGCAGACGTCTGCCTTCACTACATCCTGATAAAACAAGCTGTTGCTCTCCTTCCGTCTCACGCAGGAAATGTGTGGGTTTCTGTTCTGGCTATTATAAATAGATCTACTGCAGCTCAGGAGCTAACACTGTTCGAACCGGTCACGTTAAACCAAGGGCGTAAATCCCATCTCGTTATCGGGGCGGGGTGAGGAATAAACAGGAGAATTTCTTGAGACCAATTTTGGGGGTCGGCAAAGTTACAGTGAAATGTGGTTTAAAAAGTTTTCAAACCAGATTCAAGCTGCAGGACGAAAATGACTAGTAATGCACATCAAACGCGTGTTTTTCTCAGCGATCAATCTGCTAAGCTGTAAAACTACAATTCAAATGTTGCTTACGTAAGAGTTTTGTTCAGTCTGACTGATCTAATCTTTGCGACACCCTTACAAAAATTACAGGTCCTAAATAAACGTAACATTTAAAGCACCAGGCTTTATATAGAAAAATATTCAGATTTTACTTTGTGGTTTCAAAGGCAACACGTTGAAGACCGTTTGAATGCTTTTGCTCCTCCTGCACTTTGGACTAAGCCATTGTTTTAACAATGGTAGGGGGGAACCTAAAAAATCAATCAATCAATCAAATGTTATTTGTATAGCACATTTCAGCAAGGCATTTAAAAGTGCTTTACATCATAAACACAAGAACACAAAGTCATGCAACATATAATAGACAATACATTGTTACATATTACATTTCAAAAGCAATTCTAAAAGGTGTTTTTTTTGCGATTTAAAAAGTCTCAGGGTTTCTGCTGTTTTACAGTTTTCTGGAAGTTTGTTCCAAATTTTTGGTGCATAGATGCTGAAAGCTGCTTCTCCTCTCTTGGTTCTGGTTCTGGGGATGCAGAGCAGACCAGAACCAGAAGACCTGAGAGGTCTGGAAGGTTGATACAACAACAGCAGATCTTTGATGTATTGTGGTGCTAAACCATTCAGTGATTTGTAAACTAACAACAGTATTTTAAAATCTATTCTTTGAGCTACAGGGAGCCAGTGGAGGGACTTTAAAACTGGTGTTATGTCTCTATTTTCCTGGTTCTAGTGAGAACGCGAGCAGCAGCATTCTGGATCAGCTGCAGCTCTTTGATTGATTTGTTGGACAGGCCTGTGAAGACGCTGTTACAATAATCAATGCGACTAAAGATAAACGCATGAATGAGTTTCTCTAGATCTGGCTGAGACATTAGTCCTCTAATCCTGGAGATGTTCTTCAGGTGATAGAAGGCTGACTTTGTAATTGTCTTTATGTGGCTCGCAAGGTTCAAGTCTGAGTCCATCACTACTCCCAGGCTAGTTTTTAGTTGTAATAACTGAAGCTGTGCATTGACTCTAGATCGTTCCTCTTTAGGTCCAAAAATAATGACTTCAGTTTTATTTTTGTTCAGTTGGAGAAAGTTTTGGCACATCCACACATTTATCTGCTCTAAGCATTTATTCAGTGATTGGATGGTTCAGAGTCACCTGGTGACATCGTAATGTAGAGCTGAGTATCATAGCTAATATTATTTCCTGTTATAACCTGAGCTAGTGGGAGAATATAAATATTAAATAAGAGGGGTCCTAAGATTGAACCTTGGGGTACTCCACATGTGACCTTTGACCTCTTTGATGAGAAGTTTTCAATTGAAACAAAGAAATCCCTGTTCTTTATGTAAGATTCAAACCAGTCGAGCACCGAACCGGAGAGTCCGACCCAACTTTCAAGTCGATTCAATAATATGTTGGTCGACAGTGTCAAAAGCTGCACTGAGGTCCAACAGAACCAGCACTGTGGTTCTGCCACAGTCCGTATTTATATGAATATCATTGAATACTTTTACGAGGGCAGTCTCCGTGCTGTGGTGAGCCCGAAAACCAGATTGGAAAGAGTCAAAGCAGTTGGTCATCATGAGGAAACTATTTAATTGTTTACACAGTTTTTTCAATAATTTTGCTGATGAATGGGAGGTTTGAGATCGGCCTGTAATTCTGCAATAGTGATTTGTCCAGGTTGTTCTTTTTTAACAGTGGTTTGATGACCGCTGTTTTCAAGGCCTGGGGGAAAACATGAACATTGAATACTATGAAGCACTATCACACTCATTCCATGTCTGCTTTCTCTCTCTCTCTTCTCCAGAGGTGGTCTGAGCAACAAGCTCTTTCTGTGCAGCCTCCCCGACTCCGTGGGCTCGGTCGGGGACGAGCCGAGGAGCGTCCTGCTGCGCCTCTATGGGGCCATCCTGCAGGTGGGAGTTGTTTCAGTCTATCAACCTTAAGCCAAAACAAAAAGTAGGTCAGACTCCTCACCAGGATGTAAAACTAAGAAAGTAGTTCTCTGTCAGTGTTTTTAGTTTTTTTTTATTTTATTTGTATTTATTTTTTTTATTTTCCACACAATTAACAACCGAAATGTAGAATACGTACCTGAATCCTCTTTGAAGTAAAACCATCAAGCTGTTTTGCCTTTATCTCAGAGATGACTCGTGTAGCAGGGGTCAGTGTGATGTGTCAGTGCCACCATCAAAGGTTACTGTTGTGTGTGCGCCTGTAGCTCATATGCCTATGTTAGAGTATGCATGCATGTGTAGTAGTTATGCCTTCACGTGTGCGTGCGTGCGTGGGTGTGTGTGTGTGTGTGCGTGTTAGCCATTGTTGTACATAGTGATGTACCCCCATGGCTGTACATGCATGTGTTCTTTGCCGTAGGCTTCCCAAAGGAGCGTGCCTTGGGCACTCTTGTTCCCAGGTGAACCCACCAAAAAACACGGTACAGTATGAGATCTCTGAAATCTCAGCCTAATATAAAAATGTAACGCACACTCATGTAGCACAGCGCCAGGAAGACACAGAGTGGAGGGAAAACAAAAAGCTGCAACCTGAACCTCCCCCCACCCCTCCCTGCTCTAAATCCCTGCCTTGTGATTCCTACTTTTGAAGATGTCAGCTTAAATTTTTTAAGTAGGGGACAAAGTGGAGGTCTTGGCAATGCCTGCACGTCAGCAGATCCCTCAGCTAAAGAGAGAGCGATCTAGCTTCCGAATGCTTTACATCTTGTGCAATTTTACACAAGATGTTGACTTGTGTAAAAATAAATTCAGGGGCCTGGGAGGGGAATATTTTGCCGCAATCATTTGAACAAGTCTTCTTCCTTGGGTAAAGCTGTTGCTCTCTGATCCCTCTATAATAATTTGACGAATAGAGGGTGGCATTTGCTGGTGTAATCACTAACTGGAAGATCAGCCGCCATCTTGAATGGTTTTTAATAGGGGCCCCCAACATTAGTAAAAAATAAAAATGTCAGTCTCTAGTATTGCAACAATACTTTTTTAAATCGTCATCACCCTATGAGCTTTAACATCTCAGTCGCTAAGATCTAGATCAGGTATGAGAGCGAAAGTTCATCCAGCAAGCTACATTAGTTATTAGTAAACAGTTTTAATGAAATATCATAGCAGTTTACCCAGTGATTGCAGGACTTTAAGACGTTGACTAGTGACTTGCTGGCGTTTTCTGATTTGTAGAAAGAACCCCCCCCCCCCAAAAAAAAAAAAAAAAAACGCCCGCTGTTTGCAATAAAAAAAATTAAAAAAAAATCCGCCCAAGACAAAGATGTCGGCTGCCTTTCAAGGCAATTTATACCCCGGCTCACATTGACCGCTGACTTAATGAGAGCTGCATTAAATTATTAACTTGGGTCTGTGTAATTACTAATGGGTGTGTAAACAGTGTTTATTGCTCGGGATGTCTGAACGAGCTGGACCACTGCGTCCTTCACCAAGGTAACCGCAGCCCTCTCGGCCCTCTCACAGCAAGGAATTAGCGGCATCTAATCAAAAAGCTAATACGATTAAAGAAGACAGACGGCCATGTTTAAGTGCCCGGCTACTAATGATTAAACCAGCTTTGACTGCGTCGGAGACAGGGTTTCTCAGCAGTGGAGACATGCAATGACGGACTAGAAGAAGGTTCAATTGTTGACAGTGAACTCTCGTTTCTGTCTCTGGGCTGACGTGTCACGTCACCCCAGATGTGGAAAAGAATCATAGCGAAAAGCAAGATGAGCTGTTTAAAGATTCGGTGTGTGTTTGAACTCATACTGTACTGTTTGTACTGTAGGGGTGGTCAGGGTGGGTTTTTTTTTTTGTTTTGTTTTTTTAGTTGATGATGCTGCATGGTTGGCTTCGCCTTTATTCATGGATAGTTCTTTCCTTTTTCTCTTGTTGATAGATGTCCTGTAATAAAGGGGACTCCCGACAGTCAAACAAAGAGAATCACTTCCAAGTAAGTAACTGATGTTGGTGCTGCCGTACATTGTGCTTCTCTGCCCTCAAAAGACGGTCCGCAACAGAGCAACTCGCACTGGGATGTTCCAGCCTCTCCTTGATGTGTGTCAGCATGTCCATAAACTGTTTCAATCCCTTTGAATTTACTTCTTTTTTGCTCACAAGTCAAATTCAAATATTCAGGGGGATTCACAGAGAAATCAGTGGATATCTTGAGCTTACACTAATGTGTTGATGCCCTTTTTTTTAAAAATCACATTGCAACCACAAACTCCAATGCATTTTATTGGGACTTTATATAATAAACCAGATGTCTGAAACTCCAGTCAAAGGCCGAGGCCTGATCATGATCTTCTGATTCAGCTGTGTTGAAGCAGAGACCGTCAAGAAGTTGCATGAAACTGGCACTCGAGCACTGGAGATTCAGACCCCGGTGACAGACTGACATGGTGACGTCATAGTTGTGAAGTGAAATGAAAATGGCACATGCTTTTAAATACGTTTTGCACAGAAAAACTTGAAAGTGTTCTGCACATTTGTATTTATCTGCTTTATTCTGCAACCAAGAAATAAAGCATTAGTGCCACCAACTGCTTTCTGAAGCTTGCATATAATTTAATCCCAGAATAAATCCAATGTTTTTTTTTTTTTTGCTAGTTTTTTTTTAAGGCTTTACTAATTTTCTTTTTTTTTTTTTTGCGTAAATTTGCGAGAAAGCAGCATGATAAAGACAGAGGAACACGGCGGGACAACTCGGAGATGTTCCGGAAAAGCGTAAAGAAGGATTAGATTGTAAAACAACAACTCAAGCTTTTTCTGTTTTACAGAGCTTTTTTTTTTTCATACTATCATCTGAAAATAGGAACTATATTGTGAACAAACTCGATTTGGAGCTGGGTCAACGTTCATCAGATAAGACGCATGAACAGTTGGTTGCTCTTCCAAGAAAAGACCAAAATGTAACAAAGAAAACGTGACGATGCAATGTGAATCATGCTTAGTATCATGCTTTGGGAATGTACTTCCTCTTCAGGAACAAGAACTGCTTGAAGTTCATGGGAAGTTAACTAGATAGTGAAAATAACTGAGGCAGAAAGAGACGAGCGTTTTGTGTCGGGGCTTTTGGTGGTTTTGTGTTTTGTTTATCATTTCTGTGTTCCTTGGGTAAAAAAAAGTATCCAAGTGTGGCGCTATAAATGGGGAAAAAGACAGTTCCACACGGCATTTCCTTCCACTTCACAAATATTGCACTTTATGATGGTCTGTTGCATTAAGGGGTGGGAAGACTTTCACAAGGCACCGTAAGTCCACAATAGATTCACCTCCTGCCTGCTTCTCTGGCGTCCTGGCACGGCATGACTCTTGAAAACAAAGTTGGGAAATGTTTTTGATCCATCCCATTGTTTTTTTCCCCGCTCTGTTTCGACCAGTTAAAATCCCAAACAATGGAGTTGTGCTTGATTTCGAAGCACAAAGCCATCTTAGCTGTGACGGTCACGTTGGCTTTGTTGTCCAAAAGGTTCACCCTGTCGGACAGCATAGCGGCGGCGTTTCCTACCGTCAAACGAAGAGAGAACATACAGCAAAGAGGGGGGCTCTTTTCATGACGTGTGCAACTTTGACTGCTAAGTTTTAAATAAAAATAAGGGGATTTAATCACAAGAATAGGCAAAATAGTTTCATCTATATGTCTTTACTGAAAAATGGTTCATTTTTTAACCCATTTTTGAAATTCTTTACAATTTTTTAAGTGATCTTGGTTTGTAGTTCCGCAGCCTTTTTTGAAGTGTGATTGTTTTTGTTGCTTTTTACAATTTTTCTTTGCGGTTTTCTTCTTTTTTTTTTTTTTTGCATTTTTTTATGCTGAAATATATCATCTACAGCTTTCTTTAAATGTTTCTTTGTCAAAAATCTTCTTCCTCTCATATCTTTTTTGCAATTTTTTAAACATTGAAACAAGTTTTTTCTCAGTTTTTTTTGTATTATGTCTTTAACATGACAGATTTGTTTACAGTTTAGGGTTTTTTGTTTTTTTGGGGGGGAGGGGGGGTTTCCCTTAAGCATAGACAATGTGGGAATTGTGGTTATTTTGAAGTCTGTCAAATTCTTGTTATTGGCTGACAGAATATTGTGCTGTATGTGCAAAAAATGAGGGAAGTGGGGGTTGGGAAAAGAAACCTAAAATATAACAAGTTTATAAACATTATTTTAAAGTCTTGCCTTCAAAAATACAAGACAAATTCAGCAACCTGACCGGACCTGAGAGAAAAGAGATCTCAACCAAAAAAATAATTTTTTATACAAAAAAATGAGGTTTATCCAAGACCTTTTTTTTGCATTAGTCGTTTTCTTTAAAAAAGGCAACTGTGCAGGATTTTCATGTTTTGCTTTTCCATGTCTCTGTATGTCTTTCACTATTGTTGCCTGGAAAGGCTGCGCGTGCAACCCAGTTCCTATACATGTGATCCGATTCAGCATCTCAGCAGACACACCTTGTGTTTTTAAAACTTTGAAGATCTAAATTAGTAAAGGGTTTATGACCCATGGATGTTGTTTACGCAAACTCATACAGAACTTAATACAATTCCCTGAAAATGTAGACGGACATCACAGTTTATGTCAGGGTTAGTATATGATGTATACGAACTCCACCATCAGGATGACTTCATGAACCTCTGAGTCACACTAAGCTGCTAGGAAAGGCGACATTTACAACAGGAGCTTTTCTTTACGCAGACCTCAGACCCACTGACCTGGAAAATGCTCGATCTTGCAACACGTCATGTGACTGTGACCTTTGAGCTACATGCCGGAGAGCCCAAGCATGACTCTTGGTCATGTGGTCGTGTTGAGGTCATCAGTCCGTTAACGATCATTACCACACGGCCGTCTTTCCGTAAAGATTACTGCTTCACCTTAGTGGCTTCCTTCGACTTTAATCTGGGTTAATGCAAAACTGACCCTGTGTCAGTGGCCGGGTCCAGCTTCCCTGACGATGGTGTCTGGTCAAGGTAGATCCGATCTGGATTAGAGCGGCATGGAAGACGTCACTGCGGTACATTAGCCTCTAACATGTATTCTTAAAACCCAAGGGATGGAGACACAGAGAGCTTGTGCCAATGATAGTAAACAAATGAGACTCTTACACACTTAAATATTGCTCTTATTAATAGGTAGCAAAAGGTAATTGAACCCTTTCCCTGTTTACCACGTCCTGTATTGCATATCATGGTTTTACAGTTTATTCTAAATGTAAGCTAAATTCCTGTTTTGTTTAATAATGTGTGAAAACCACAATTTTCTGTTTATGCAGTCAATATTATTTACAGTTGACACAAAAAATTGTTAAAATGCAATGATGTGCTTTTTTGTAAACGCAGCATATTATGAAAAATGTTGCCTTTTATATTATGGAAACATGAGACGGGAGAAAACTCAAGCTTTTAAGTAGATGGCCAATCACCAATTAAATGTCAGTTTTAGACTAAGTCAGTCGATAACTTGTGTCCCTGGTATCTACTGTGATCGTCCCTGCAGGCTGAATGTCACTTTGCGCAATATGCAAAGTGACATGCACTTGTGGTTTTAACCCATCGATGGATTTTAATACCAAAAATTGTTTGCGAATAATTCACCACTTTGCAGAATTTATTGTGTCTAAAATATCTCACAGAAAATGCAGGTTGGGAAACTGAAATGCCAGGGCGCATGCTGCTCCACATGCTATTGGCGGCATTTTCAAGAAGCACCATTTATTTTCCTTGGTGCTGATTGGCGGATTGCTCTGTTGGAGATGAAGACGACTGTAGACATTAGGTTCTGCGGTGCTGCTACGACGGTTTTCATTATGTGTATTAATGCACATCAAGATATAGTTGATCTCTGAAATATTAAAATAAGCAATTAGAAGTTTTTAGAGGTGTTTTTTTTTTTTATCTATTTGCGAACAACTATTATCCCTATCCACAGTTATTACCAGGGATTCGCTGAATGCTCTTGGAATACCTGTTGTCTAAATCTCACATTTTATTCTCAAAAGATTGGTTTCACAAACTGATCACTTCAGAAGTAACAGCATAAGATGTGTTAAGTATTCCCTTTAGTTCTCATTCGGGTTGCGGTTACTTTTGACAGATTGATGGAAGAAAAACGTGTCGCAGTTCTTCCCGCTCCGTTCAGATGGTTTTGACTGGTCCTTAGTACCAACCCCACGACAGGGTTACTTACACACACAGTAGGGGGAAATGAGCATTGAGGTCAGCGCAGCAGCTCCTGGCAGCCCTCGATTCACCTGCAACGTCCTTCCAAGACCAGAGTGGATAAGCAGCACCGAAGCGTGGCCAGACTAACGATTTGTAATCAAAACACTGAGTAGGAGAAAATCCTGCTTCAGATCCAGTTTTTTTGTTTTTTTGAGGGGGTAAATGACATGAGTGGGCCACAAGCAGAGGATGCCGGCTTTACTACAGGAAGCGCTTGTTTCCGGTCTAGCTTCAGGAAGGCATGGGTTGAAGGTCGTCGCTACAAATTGTGAAATTCTTTTGCCTCCGAGTTGCAGGAAGCCTCGACGGCCTCAGATTTATTCCTTGCTGACGGTTCAACGTGTTTAGAGAAAGTGAGATGAATCCAACGACGTTGACGTTGAAAATATGTCGGGGGGGGGAATAAAACGGGTTGATGGAGGATCGTGGTGGCATCAGACACTCGGTCAATATGGGAGCAACAGAGTTCAGTCAGTCTGGCTTCGCTGCTTCCTGAAGTCCAAAACAGACGGATGCTTAGTGGATATCCACAAAGTTAAAGGTCTGCAGCATAAACCTCTGCTCCAAATATCATCTGTAGCTGTTAATTTAAGCTGACATATTTAATGTCATTTGCTGAAATTGCTTTGAAATAGACTTTTCTTTTTAAATTCAGCTTTGAACAGGAAATATTCAAAAACAGTTATACTGTGAAAAGAATACATGTATTTAACAAGGAAACTTTAGAGGCCACAATAAAACGCACAATAAGGACATGAACAAATATTGATTTAAATTCAACAAATGACTTATAATTTTTATGAAGTGAATTGTTGTCCTTCCACTTCACGAAGAGTCATTAATTGGCTTTAGCCTATTCCGTGAAATACAACGAAGAGTGTGGTTACAATGTGACAAAAGGTGCAAAACTAGAGTTAAGTATGTTGTCACAAGGCACGGAAATCAATTTTTATGACGTCTAACAGCAGGACGGGAAAAATGAAGACATGGAGAGGCAGATGTGGGAGTAAGGTTAAGTTTCAAGAGAAAAGGAGAGGAGTATCCTCAGCTTGTAGACAAAATTCATTCACAAAGGGGCATGCCATGTTTTAATATGGTTGTATTCAAGACTTTAGCCACACACATATTAAATATTAGCTTCGCTCATAAAGACATTAAATTACTCGACATGGAATGAATGTAAATTAAATGAGGTGCTCCCACAGAAACCTTTCCCTCTTAGCTTGACGTTGGTATAAAACATTGATTAAAAGAAATAGAAGATATCAGATTTAGTTTCTGTAGAGAGAGAGCTTATTTACTGGAGTCTTCACAAGAGACTCCCTGTGAGCTGGTTCGTCATCTGGCGGTATTTGTGTCAAGATGATTATGGTAATGTGGATAATTCACGTTGGAGATTTGAAAGCGCATGCCATCAGCATTGTGCAGATGAGGCCTTATGTAAGACAGGGAATATTGTCTGAGCAAAGGAAACGAGGTGAGCTGCAGAATCAGTTGTTCTGCATAAACGTCGAGTCGCTTTAGATGTATTCACTGTGCCTCACATGTATCTAACATCTTCCTATAATAACCAAAGTATATGCCATGCTTTCTATGAACGTACTGCAGTTTAAAGAAAGTCTTTCATTGTCATTTAAAATCTATGCATATTTCTGGAACATTTGCCTATTTTGGCCTGAAGCCTCATCATGAAAGAAACCATATTATGTCAATATGTAGCATTTGTTTTTCCTACCTCTCAAAGCTAAAATGATTCCTGACACTCAGACATTTGCTGCATGTCTTCCCTCCTCTCTGTTGAACCATTTTCAGTCTAGTTTAATGCAAATAAAAGCCTCTCGTGTCACAAGAGAAACTTTTTAAAACGTACGCGACACCCCTTTTGTTCGTTCAGTTTATTAGACTTTTTTTATATGCAAGTTATTTGTAGTTCTGAATTATAGGGGTAGACATGTTGTGTTCACTCCAATACTCAACGCTATTCTCCAGCAGGACAAATCTGTACCAGGCTGAGTTATGAACCTGTTCAACTTTAATTGTTTGCCAAATTTAAATTGTTCTGGTTTAATAACCTGCCAAGGTCTCGACATAATAGATCGAGAGTCAAACAAGTAACAGTCTGACGAATGTAAAAGTTGGTGTAATACTTTGTCAAGGCACTGTACCACAAAGTAACATTACTCCTGTGGGAATGTGAGATTTTTTTTCTTTCTTTTTATTAAACTTGAGCTCCTGCTGGTCTCTTGATTGGAAGTCTCAGCATGAGACTTTTGTGTATTTGCAAGATAGATTGAGCAAGACTGAGCAGTCCCTCCTGCTTGGGCAGCGCCAGCAGTGACTGCTCCTCCGAGACCGCCAAGTCCTGAGCGAGTTTAATCCACTTCTGCACCCTGGCAGGCAAAGCCGAGTGCATTTTTTTTTTTCTTCAGAGTCACCCATCCATGTTACCCACTCCAAAACCTGCTTTAAAACCTTTTCAGGCTGGCCTTTCACCCTGGGAAGGCTTTGGCATTTCACATGTCACTCATCAAATCCTGGTCCTTTAAAGCAACTTTTGCAGTACATAAAAACGTTTTAACCATTCACAATTTGTTTCTCTGTTTTACTTGATGCAGGCAGGGCAAATGTATTTGTTCAGCAAATTTGTGAAATATGGATTGAGAGTTACTTGTGTTTTTAGTGCTTGACATGATAAAAACAACAAACAAGCACAAAACCATTACATTGCAATGATAAAATAAAGAAAAGTAATGTGAAATTGGAAAGACAACTAAAATGATTGATGTTTTAGTTATTAGTGAAAGACAACACAAAAAACTTTTTTTTTTCCTTGATTTGGAGGAACTGTGGGTTCCAGCATTTTTGCAGTTTTATGGCAATTTGTTTCATATTAGAAGATTATCAAACGACTGTTTCGTCTCCATGTGTGGTTCTAGGTTTTGGGGATGCAAAGTAAACTAGAGCCAGAACACCGAAGTGGTCTGAAAGGTTGATAAAACAGAAGCAGATCTTTGTTGTGTTTGGTGCAAAACCGTTTGAGGATTCGCAAACTAACAAAAGCGTTCTATTTTTAAGTCTAGAACTGGGTTGACATGCTTTATTTCCTAAGTTTTAGTGAGAAGACGAGCAGCAGCATTCTGGATCAGCTGCAGATGTTGTCTGACTTCTTAGCAGACCTCTGAAGACACTGGTGCATAAATCTAGTGCAACTACAGATAAATATAAGAATGAGTTTGTCATGACATTACTGGGACATTTTCTCTTTAATCCTAGAAACATATTTGATAGAAGGCTGACTTTGTAATTATCTTCATATGTCTCAGAAGGTTCCGGACCGGGTCCATCCAGATGTTGAGCCGGATCACGAGTATCTAACTTTAATAATTGGAGCTGTGTGCTGACTTGTGATTGTTCCTGTTTAGGTCCAAAAGAATTACTTGTGTTTTTATTCAGCTGAAGAAAATCATGGCACATTGTGAAAAGTTCAGCTCTTTGCCGCTGATTGGTTCCAGGGTTTCATAATCATCTGGTGACATTGCAGTGAGCTGCTCTCGTCTTACAGAACTAAAAGATGTAATCGTTGGTGTGAGCCTTTCCCAGACGTGAAGAGTTTTACATTGTCTGTTGCAGGGAGCAGAGGCCATGGTTCTGGAGAGCGTGATGTTCGCCATCCTGGCCGAGAGGGAGCTGGGTCCGAAACTCTACGGCATTTTCCCTCAGGGCCGCCTGGAGCAGTACGTCCCCGTAAGTCAACAACGCTTTTGTTTGCATGTGCAGTCCCTGTGATTGCCTAAAACAGGAATAAAAACAAAATAACTTCCAATGCGTTAGCCAGATTTTGGGGGTATTAATCTAAATCTTCCAGTTAGATTCCAGCTGAATACTCTTCTTTTGTCAGCACAAAAACAAACAATGAGAAATTGCTGAGCTGCAAGGCTGGCTTTAAAATGATGATGTACATGAGTCTATCAGCAGCTCTCCTGTCACCAAGAAGCCATAACCGGGACTTCTGGTGCTTTAACCTGTGGCACATTTCACAAGCTGAATTTATGAAAAGAAGAATACGCCACAGGCTGATTTCAATGCAGGACAAACACCCAGCACACTGTCTGTTGTGAGCAATGATGACGCAGTGAGCAACTTTAGTTTGATCTAAAATGTTTCCTGTTGAAGTTTCAAGTGCAGTGTACATGCTTAAGTCTCTTGTGTGAAGTTTTTAGAGAATGTTGTGACTTTGTAAGCTGGACTGACGCTGGATAGCCTTACTCTATTTTAGCTGCAGTGGTACGGATAAACACACCTTTGAATACAATCTGGGAATTGAAAGAATCTGACGCACTGATAAGAAGACAATTTCTAGCATCAGCTCCAAAGTTGCCAGGGGTCAGGTGAAGGAAGAGGATTTAGCTTCTCTTTTTAGCTGCATTTAGTGCCAACAGAGGAAACGTGTTCAAACACGCCCAGTTTAGAAGTTCAGATTCAACATGTTGCCCAAGTACTGATACGTGATGAACTATTCGAAATGTTATCACTTGTCAAACAAAATGGATGCTTTATGTCAAGATGTCCTGGTAAAAGAGACTAACACGAAGTAGGGGATAATTGCAAAGTGGAAAATGAAACACAATTTCAGATTTTTATATATATGTTTGCTTGATTGCGTTCATCTGATTGCTTTTGAAAGTCACCAAACTAATTTATAAACTTCACTTGAACACTAACAGCATCGTGAAGGCCAAGGAGCACAGGAAACAGGTCAGCGATAAAGTATGGAGGAACTGTCAACTTACCAAGAAACTAACAGAGAACGTAGGGAGAGCATCAATTATAGCTTTTTGGCGAAAGGAGAAATTGCCACTGTTCAAAGAAAGACGTCCCATTTCCAGTTTTCAACACACTATGAAGAGCACACGGGTTCAACAAGTTGCTCAGGACAGTTTTACTCTTTAGCGTCTATGAAAACTTTAATACATTGCATATAATATTATAAATAACTCACTGGACTGAGATTCTTTTTCATAACTGAGCACAAACATGAGTTAACGTAACATGAAGGTTGTTGTTCAGTTTTTGGAATCCGTGGCTTTATATTTCTCTTTGGAGGAGTTTCAGGAAAGCTCACAGAGGAGAAATGCTCACAGAGGGCATTGGTGCAGAACTGTGTCTCTTTCAGCAAGAGCACAACATTGAGCAGGTGCTGTATGCAAGGAAAAGAAAACTAATATTTCCTCTTCACTGACTTTGAGGTATGGCTCAAAACAAAGCCGATTGTAGCTGAGTCGGTGTGGGAAACATCCGACTTAAACTTTGCTCTAACGTACGAAGCGTGTTTCAGGTTCTAGCAGCAGCTGACTTCACGCCGGAGCAACTGCAAACAGAAACACAGAGGCAGAAAAATGGTCGATCGACTCAAAGGATTGATAGTTTATGGATCTCTTTTAATTTATTTTTCCCCATATGCTTTTGCTGGGAAATATTTTGGATGTCTTGAACAGGGTTTCCCCCAGAAAACTTGCTAAGCCTGGTGTGATGGGCATCAGCAGCTCGCTGTGTTTTCGTGTGAAAAAATGTTAAAAGTTGACAGGATATTCTAAGTTGTGTTATTTGAAGACATTATTGGCAACCCTTAAACGCCAAAGTATTAAAAAAGAGGGAAACAAAAAGAAATGTAATAAATATCAGTAATTTCTGCACTTCACTTAACTTCCAGTTAAGTAATTAGCGAGTGGATCTTGAAACAGTTCGTAACGCTGCTCACATTTACAGCCGGCCCAAGGCAAGAGCAAACTAAGCAGCTTCAAGGTCCTGATGAAGGCTAGAATTTTAACATGTTTATGGAGAATGAGAGTATTATTTATGAATGATTTCAGCTTAAATAAATAAAAAAAAATTAACAGGAAAACGGAACTCCTAAATAATGTTCTGCTCAAGACCCTGTAGAACCCGGGCCAGCCCTGGTCACATTGAAAAGTAAAGTAAAATAAAAGGATTATCATCTAAAATGGACAATGATATATGTATTAGTATGCCGAGTTATTTATTATTAGGGTGCAAGTATTTCTTGCATTACCTTTTCTTTGTTTACTAATGTCTGCAGCTTGGTGCGGTATGTTGATTTGCTGGCTGTGATTTGCCTTTAACTTTCAAAGCAAATGCTTTGAAAGTATTTTCAAGGAGTGCTGGATGAAAAAGGTGTGTGCGTGCGTGTGTGTGTGTGTGTGTGTGTGTGTGTGTGATTGACCAGTGGTTTAATTACATTTACTTCGTCAATTTGCAAGTGCTGACACAGAGCCAAGCACGTCAAGGCACGTAGGTGTGAGATGTAAACGCTTATGATGACCTGGGGGAAATCCTGTTATAGTTGTCTTCATGGTGAATTTAGTTGTGACAGAGAAAAACTTTGACGTTACAGAGCCGTAAACTGGACACCTGTGAGCTGAGCGACCCCAGCATCTCCGCTGAGGTGGCGCAGAAGATGGCCAGGTTTCACGGGATGAGGATGCCCTTCAACAAGGAGCCAAAGTGGCTGTTTGGGACCATGGAGAAGTGAGTCATTCAGGCCCGTGTGTCACCGTTCAATTAATCGGCCTTTGAAAGGTTCGGTTATTCAGTAACTTGGGTTTTTCCATGATAACATGTGGCACTGCTGATAAGTTACTGATAGATCAGCTTATCGAGAAGCTTTCCCATCTGAAGCGCATTCACAATGTCTGCTACGTTACATCAGCGTTATGTCTGCTTGAGGAAATGAGGGCTGTTGTTTCACCTCATGCCTGTACGTGCCTATAATTTGCTCTTGTCTCTCTTATCCTGTTATCCTGCAGTTTGACCTCTCGGGTGAAAACTTCCACATCAACAAAAAAAAAGAGTTTTCCAGATACATATTGGAAAATGAGAAAACTGCAGCGAGAGAAACTGTTGAACTATCCTAAATGAAAATGAAAATTATGCCTGTTACACAGAGCAAAGCTATTGCAGAAGTGAGGATTTTTGCCCACATGAATTACTAATGCAAATGTTTAAGTATCACAATCCTAATAAATGAAAAGTAAAATAGATTTGATTACATAAACTTGCAACTTTGTAGACAAGTGCTCGGTAAAATGCCTTAAAACTTTGTGATTTTGACATTATTTGACATTTTAAAGATTAGACCAAAAACAAATCCCAGCAACAATTTCAGAACCAGTCTAAAATTACACTTCAACAATCTAAAATTAGTATCTCGCTGTCTGGAACCGTCTTGGGGTAGCTGCTCATGTCATTTTTTTCACCAGGTACCTGAGCCAAGTCATGAGGCTGAGCTTCACCAGAGAGTCCCACCTGCGCCGCTTCAACAGCATGCTTGCCTACAACCTGCCGCAGGAGATGGAAACGCTAAAGTAAGCTGCCGAGATCACAAATTTGTGGAACTCGTTGGATGCACGGCTTTACAGTTGAGCCAACTGATGGCGCGTCGTGATGTCATGTTGCAAAAGGGCAGCAAAACATTTAAGAAGCACACGAGAGCATAATTCAGATACTCTTTGTTCAACAAACATGCGGAAACATGATCCTGAAACCTAGAACCGAGTGAAAAGTGACTTGAAGCTTTCAGAAACAGATGATTAAATAACATCCGGATAAAGAAATTGGCATACGGTGGTAATCTACGTTAATTTCCCTGGATGAACACTTCGCCGTCTTAGCATTCAAGTGGCTCTTCTTTTTTTTGTGTGTGACCAGGTTGCTGCTGGAGTCCACACACTCCCCAGTGGTGTTCTGCCACAACGACTGCCAAGAAGGTGAAACACACTGACACACACACACACACCGTTTGTCTCCATTGTGTGACTGTTTGTTTTGGTCCTTTTTAGAGGAACTGAATTTTGCTTTTTGGTGTTTTAGGAAACATCCTGCTCCTGAAGGGCCGCCACAGCTCAGACAAACAGAAGCTGATGCTAATCGACTTTGAATACAGCAGCTACAACTACAGGTACTAAAGGAGCAACATAATACAAAACAAACGATAAAGCAAAACAAAAAAAAAAAAAAAAACAATCCAGAACCGAATAAATGCATGCTGTGATGATAATGTTAAATTTATTGTAATTTAACATTATGATGATGGTGTTAAATTCAAAATCTTGGCCGTTCTGACTTTCCACGATTCCACCACTCACTCTCCTTTACTGCAGCCGGTCACACAGCTCACTATAAATAGTGAAAATGTCTTTAAAATGCCTATAAAATACCATATCTGATCTGTCTTCCATTGCTTTGGTGTGAAGTGCTGTATTGTTGATCTTACTTTGACTTCTCTTATGTTTCTGGTACATGAGATATGTTGCATCCTTAAAGTGTGGGGAATGATGCTAAAGTAGAATGTGAAAGAAATACATAAAGTATAAATATGGAAAAGTCGCTTACTGTGGAGACTTTTAACATGGAAGTTACAATATCACACCATCCATTCATCCTTTTTGACTTTTCCAGCATACTTATTACAACTTAAAGTAAAATAGTCACTGGATTGTTCTGTGAAATGTCACTGTGCCTGTGAAATATATAATACTGCCCCTTTAACAAAAATGATGCGAAACAAAGATACAAAATCACTTTTTTCCCCACAAACTGCAACTCTCCAATTACCCATCCTCCTTCCAGTAACTCTCCTCCCATTTGACCTTCTGTCCAATGGAAATGAGATGAGCTCTGCTCGCAATCTGCCGCGGAGAGGGACAAAACCAAAGGCAGAGACAGCGAAGCGGGAGGAGAGAGAAATCAGGCAGTGTAGTTTCATCAATATTTGTTGACTCTGGCGCTTGTAACTCGGCCTCACTGCAGCTGTTATGTAATCACTGCTCTGCAGATTACTAAGGGAGCCCTGCATGGAGAGAATGGAAAGACCTGCGTGTGGCTTTGAGTCATGATGGTGCAGTGGATTTACTCTGCTGTTAATCTAAAGGAGAACTTTTTTTAGGGCCTGGCATGAACTGGTACTGGTTAGGTTCAGGGTAAGGGTCAGGGTCACGCTACAGAAGTTACTGAAAGAAATGAATGGAATTCAATGTGAAATCCTTGTAACGATAGGAAAACCTCCTTGTGTGTGCGTGTGAATTCCTCAGAGGCTCATTTATGGGAAATGGAGTAGATCACAGGGAACTCCCTCCTCCTCCCACCAAACTTCAGCCTATCCCCTGTAAATATTGCACAGCAAACACATGACCTCATGGTGCTGGCCCACCATTGCGCTCACTCTGACCCTCGCTGGGGGGGCGGGTGTTTGGGGTTGTTTTAGGTCTTGGCTGATAGGCATTGGCTCGAAAAGACAGCAGAAGGGGAGATCAGCCCCATTTGGCACCTCCCAACAGAGCAAAGGGAGACTTTGAGACGAAAACAATTCGGATACAGTCCTGATAAAAGGTGTGGGAAATTATATCTACTGCGACCCAAGAGGCCACTGTCTGTTACTTCCCAAATCATTTTGACCATTCGAAGATTACTTTGAAAAACCTGCCATGTGCCCAAGCAAATTGTACTTAATAGAGTATAGTCTACTTTGCAGTTCTGCAAAAAGGAACTTTCACGACTGTTACAATCACGTTTAAAATTATATATGCCTTTGCTCCCTCTGTTGGATTAACGGAAAGTTGCAGCATGAACCGGTCAGTGTGCGTCATCACTTTCACGTAAGCAACAGCTTGGAGGCATTCAAGCGTCTTAGCAAAAAGTTAGGATGGAAACGGATTAGAAATAATGTCCCAGAAGCTTTTTTTTTTTTTTTTTTTTTGCTGTTCATTAATCAGGGAACACTTAGAAAGGCGTTTGTAAATAACTTGGTATTTCCAAATAAAAAAAGAAAAACTTTCTGCAGTACAGCTTGTGTTTACAAAGCTGGAGCTAAAAGAAGCGCAAGACTTGTGAAAGAATGTCTATTTGATTGGATTAGGCCAATCATAATGCACGCAGCGGCAGCAAACCAAACAGGACACATCAGGTGAAAAGACTCAGACAAACTGTCAAACACAGAAGAGGAAGCGTCATGGCCACAGGACCCGGGCATCTTGATGTCACATCTGGAGATATTAAAACTGTTCAGAATGAACATTTTCTGATCATTTAAGACTCTTCAAGGAGTAAACACCATCTGCTATCAAAGCTTTAGAGGACGTATCCTATAAAGAAATATGTATTTCTTGTGAACTGGGCACTTTAACCAAACTGAATGAAACTGCAAATTCAAACAGGACAAAGAGGATCCATTCTTTATCATGACCCGGATTAATGAAGCCAAAGCCATTAACCCACAGATCACTCCACTGTCCGTTTGCGTTGCAGGGGCTTTGACATCGGCAACCATTTCTGCGAGTGGATGTACGACTACACCTGCGAAGAGTTTCCCTTCTTCAAAGTTGACACCCAGAACTACCCTTCAAAAGCCCAGCAGGTCCGCCTCAGCTCGCTTATGCCTCGCGCATTTTGTTCTCGACGGGTGACTAACTGATGTGAATGTCTTCTGTGGGCAGCTTCACTTCATCGAGAGCTACCTGCGAGAGTCCGACCAGGGCTTTGACAACCTGAGCGAAGAGCACCAGATGAAGCTGAAAGAGGAGCTGTTTGTGGAGGTCAACAGGTGAGTTTAACGTTGAACCTGACGGGCTTGAAGACGATGCTTCCAAAGTGCCGTTGTCCGAGTCGCGCAAAACTCGCTCTGTGTTTGTTCCCGTGTTTAGGTTCTCCCTTGCATCTCACTTCTTTTGGGGCTTGTGGTCCATCATCCAAGCAAGACTGTCAACCATTGAGTTCGGATACCTGGTGAGCCTTTTCTTTCAGCGCGCAGGGATACAGTTGGCTTCTCGACGTTTTGCCGTTTTCATTGCCGTGGGCGTGTTTGCACGCGCAAACGGCAGCGAGCTCTGTGTCAACACCTCGAGTTGAGACGAGGACAGAATCCCTCAGAGCAGGTTGTCATGATAGCCGGACAGGATGTGATGAACTAGTGGTGAAAAATTATTTTAAAACCCTTGAATCCAAACACCATATCAAAGTAACTGAAATATTGCATCCCACTGCTCTCGGTGTTGCTAAAATGTGAATATTTTTAACAGCACAACAGTTTGGGATGCTGCTGAAAAAAAGTTGTTGACTCTTTTATGATCAAAGGATTGTAAAAATAGCTTGTCTCGTTCGGGCATAAAAAGGCTGCTAAACACCAGGGATGGACCAATTTTAGCTTTCAAACCACAAAACGTTAAAAACTCAGACCACTGCAAAGCTCATTGCCAAGTGTTCACGAACTCTTGATTGTATTGCAGGAGTACGCCCAGGCCAGGTTTGACGCCTACTTCCAGCAGAAGATGATCTGGGCCGCCTAAAGCAGCAGGCGACCGGGTGATTAGACGACACATTGAGCCGAAACGTCAGCAAGAGGACACAAAGGCTGAAAAAAAGATGAAAAGATCCACGCTTTACCTACTCTCCCCAATCTTTAGAGGGGATTCTGCTGCCTCGTGTTGGTGTTTTGTTGACCGAAGCCAAACCTTAATCCGACGGCCAGGCTCTTGAATGCCACCTCCAAATCAATCGCAGCTCAAAGTTTACAAATGTAGCGACACAAAGGCCAACTGGAAAAGGAAAGGCACTGACTTCTACTAACCTTCATTGCCGCTCAGATGTCCTCTCTGCTTCTGCTGGGCCATACTGCTAGCATGATGAGACTGAGTAGGTGAACGGCAAACTTGGGTCACTGCTGGAGCGGAAATGTTAACATTGCATCAATGTGTGTGTATCGATCATTCTCTGATGGAGATGCTCTATGGGAAGGAACCAAAACTCTGCCTAGTTTTGCTCACTGAGGCAGCCAGTTGCTAGCTAAGTGTATTATAATATATTATATAGAGCTCAATGTGCCAGTAGCCTGTTAACCGATGATGGGCTGAAATTATGACTTGATTTATAGATTTTTCTGTACACTTTTTCTGTGATTTCCTTTTTTTATTATTATTATTTGGGTGTGTTTGTCATTGTCAGACCAGGACGTTTTAAAGATGTGAATACTCGAATGCATAAAAAGTTATGTCAGTTTTGCTTTGTGACGTCCTTACTAATCATACTCACAACTGGGCTTTCTGTTTCTCAAAGCAGAAGTATGGAGTGTTAACAGTGTTTTGTTTTATTTAAGTGACCAATAGATACAACATTTCCTGAGCCAAATACCTTAGTATGTTTTTATGAACACTGCTGCTAAACGCCACATTGACAGTTGCGTACTAGAGCCGGCTTTACGCAGAGCGCTGCTTCTTTAGTTTTAACGATGGATTCCTGGTGATTGGTCACTCGTGTGTCGACACAAGTGCCTGGTGCCACGCTGCCTCTTCATCGCACTCTTCACCCAGAGTAATGACGCTGGCAGTCGAGGCATCAAAGCTAACCTGTTTTGCACAAATCATTAAAGTAAACATTGTAAATATTTACAGCGACAAGGAGGTAGCGGAAAGATTTCTGCGATTTGGAGACCTGGGTCGTGTTAAAAGTTCACGCTCGTGTTAAAATCAGTGTTTTCAGTCGTGGTGAAAATCGTACTGCGTCTGATAACGGAAATGAAAGCAGAAAAGGGCAAACGGTCTCTGAAGTTTACCTCGACTATTGCTCTGCTGATTAACACACCTGGATCCAAATGTTGAAACCGGAGGAATATAATCACTGCACTAAATCAATGGAACCCAAACACCCAATTATATATGTGTTGTAGCTAAATGCAATATTTAGTTTCTTGTGTTTAGTTGTTTAATTGGCACACTGGGCTTCCCTTTAACGTGGTTCCTACAATGTTGAAGTTTGTTTCCATTCTTAATTTCCATATTTTGTTTTTTAGTGAATAAATTTTTTTTATATACTTAACAGAAAATCTGTATTACTTCATGTTTAAATAATTTTTTGTTTTTTTATTTGTCATTTCATTTTGCGAAATTAATATCACAGCCATAAGTGTTTTGCTTTTTAAGTCATCAAAATCTGCAGATGTATTCAGAAATCAGAATTGGACATTTCAACTTTTTTTTTTTTTGCAGTGCTTGAGTACAGAATTTAAACTGGACTGTTTCCAGAACTCGGTCTACTTCAGCTTAATCAGGGAATGGACCGAACAGCTACGTTTTAGTTGATACTAACTGAATAAATGCATCAAAAATCCAAACTGTGCTTTGTAAAATCAGGAAAACCATCACCCCTCTTCCCTGTTTAAGGCAGTTTTAACCTTTTTGACCAAATTAACAAAAACTTTCATTTTCCTCAACTTAAAGATGACTGCTTTTTAAATCGGACTATTTAATAAAGGCTAAAGAAAAAGCTAATCATGACAAAGATAATTAGCCTGAATGTTGAGACACACTACAGCACTGTTTTTATTGCGTTATACCTCTAAACTAACACAGAATACTCCCTATGGAAAGTTAGCATAGTCCTTTTTCTTCACATTTTAAAGCTTTTACCCACTTTGTGAACAGTTCCTTATTTGGGACATGCTGACAGTCGCTATTGCTGGTCTATAGTCCAATGCCATTAATCCACCATCCACTCTGTGAAAACACATAGCCTACATCAAGATTTAAACATTGACTTTGTCATTTCCTGCTTCGCCTCATTCCTCATATTCATAAGCGAATACTTTGGTGGGCGTGAGATTGTCGTCAACACCTCTGAGCACTGTGAAGCGTGACGGCAACTGATCACTACACCTGAAGCTGAAAACTAGATTTGAATGGCCATTGTGGCACTTTTGAAAAGCTTATTAAAAGAAAAGAAAAAAAAAAACAGGGTTTCTGAACTGTGACTTTGGAGTTATTTAAATGTTAGTTGTACTTTTGCTTGTGTATTTATATTTACTTTTTAATGTGTTTTAATATTTCATGCACTTGATGTCCACCGTCAGAATGTGCAAGGGGTTGTACTGGACAGATATTTAATTGTTTTTGTTTTGTTTTTTTTTTGACGGTACTGGCACATCTTCACTGTCTGTATCACTTGTGAGACTTCCTTTAAGCTAACCCGAATTATTATTTTTGTTTCAGACATCGCCTTTTGCTCCTTTGTTTCTCTTGTAATGTCGCTGTTTATTTAAAAAGAAAAGCATCTTGATGCATTCCATCCATGTTTTGTTTTTTTTGTGTGTGTGTGTTTTTGAAGTGGGATCACACACACACACACATTTGGACCTCGAGGTTGGCTTTTAATGGTCCCCTCGGTCAAACTGTAACTAGACCCTGGTCGCCGAACAAACGCACCCACTCTGTACATATTTACTGTAATATTCTCTAACAAATAACAAGTAGAAGAAAAAACAAGATATTCAAAGATAAATAATGGAAAAGTTTTATCCTGTCATCATTGCCGGTGCGCAGCGTTGTGAAAAAGTATCATCCCCTCACAGATTTCCCCTATTTTTGCCAGTTTTTAGCATCAAGAAAAGGAAAAAAAAAGGATTTTTTTTCTTATGACATCGGAAAATGTAAAGAGTGGTTGATTTTAGTCATTTGTGAAAACTAGCAAAGAAACGCCAGTGTTTGTCCATTTCGGTCCTCAGGGACCACCGCCCTGCACATTGAAGGTGTTTCCCCTCTTCCACACACCTGACTTAAATAAGTGGGAGATTTGCAGGCTTCTGCAGGTGGCAGGACTTTACATTTCAGTAAAACACGTTAAACCTAACAACTGGTCGTGCCCACCTTTTGCAGGAATGTCTTCAAATCAGCCCGAATGGCTCGTTAAAAGTCATGCCGCAACATTTCAATGTGATTCAAGACTTTGACTAAACCACTTCAAACCCTTTTGTATTTTTTACCTTTTTTCCAATTGGCTAATGTTAGTCCAGAGAGCTGTTTCCCCACAAAAACGGACCCCACATCTGAAATTGTCTTTTTTTATTATTTCTATTCAGACTGTCATTGTCTGGCAATGAAAGTCGGATCGTCTTCATCTGAAAGCAAATCAAAGGAAACCTGCAAGAGGGCCAATATCTTTTTCGCTGCGCTGAGCGTCGTGTTGTTGTTCTCCTCGTTGATGATGACCACAAATCTTCTGTGATTTTACTCACCTTTGTTATCTATGCAGCTGCAACTGAACGCGTATGTACTCACAGCGACTCGCTTCTGTAATCAGAAAGGTTTTTGTTAAACTGCAGCAGCACTGAAATGACTGTAAATCTATGCTTTGCACAAATAAAACTGAAGAGACTGAGAATTTGGCTTTGGGGGGGTTTCATTTGACTTGGAACACTGGAACATGAGAAACCCGGGTCAGGAAAATCCTAAAAATGTTTTCTGAAGCTATTCCTAGGCTCAGTAAACCTCAAGGAGCGTCGCAGTATTTAGTCTGAAGTTCGACACGGTGATTCATTTTTATTTGTGACATAGTTCAAAGCTCACGTGTTTATCTGTGCTCCAACACATGAAGATCCGAGTGAAACTGCATCGTCCCACTGGATGAAGACGACACCTGGTGAGCCATACCAGTGTTGCCAACATGGAGAATGTGGATGTACTGGTACATCCATATTACTGGATGTACTGCTGGCTTTTATGATTAACCAGTAGGGATCATAAAAGGGATAAAACAAAGAAAAAAGCTCTAATAGCACATGGATTGTGCGATAAGTTAAACTATTAGGTTCATTTCCATGGCCACTTTAAAATAGATCTCATTTGAACTAACAAACAAAAATTTGTGGATGTTTATTCGCAACAGCATTCAAGCTTTAAAATTAGTTGTTTTTTTTTTTTTTTTTACTTTCAATACACATTTTTCTTCCAACTTCACGCTTTTTAACTAAGAAATGCTGTGTGATAAAATCTGAAACGGCGTTCAACTTCTCTGAAAAAACATCGAATCTAATTCAAACTCAAATGAGTTTAACGTATTCTCTTATTTACAACACACTTCAGAAAAAAAACAAGATTTTGAAGCATTTTTGTATTAAAACACAAAGAATTTGCCTTCAGCCAACAGAGACAAAAAAAAAACAAGAAAATGAAGGTGGCCTTTCATCTAAACTGGTGATGGTAAAACGTCTGAGTTGAACAAATGAGGCAAAGTGAACTGATTGTTTGAAGTACATCTGATGACGATGGAAGACTTTCGGACTTTTCCAGAGTTTTCTCCGGTGATCTTGCAGCGGGCGGCGTCAGCATTCAGGACCCGTTTTTATACAACCTCATTGAGTTAATGGACACAGGGACGAGCGAGACGGCTGAATGGATGCGGTGAGTCACGCTTGGCCTGCTGAAGCTAAGCTGCAGCCAAATCCATTATTTATAAAAGGCCGGCGATGTTACCTCCGCCAACATCCTGCTGTTGCCAGTAGCAACAGGTCTGCAGGAGTGGCGCGGCTCGATGAGACGACCGCTGATCAGCAAACGCTGATGTGCTACATGTGGAATAAAACGATTGCCACGTCTGATTTGTCCGTCGGTGTGTCGATGCGACTCCAGATTGATCTGCCTTTTATCAGATCTGACCTTTGCACTTTGCCCTGTTGAAATAAAGCAGATAAATTTAATAAGCCTGCTGGCTCATAGCCTCTTAATCAAGCCTAAAAGCTGCAAAGTTTGAAAGTACAGCCTCGTCAGAAGTTATTATTCATGTTGTTGGAAGGTCAGCATCTTTCAGCGTGAGTGGAGATTTTTTGCTGCTGGCTCTAAAAGCACAAAGTGCTTCCAGTTTGACAGGTTATGTCTTTGAAGCGCGTCCAAATCAGCAACATCATCTCAGGACACGTAGACAACCGAGTACAGAAACCAAAGACAGTTTCACAACCAATTTATTCTGCCAATAAATTTTATGTAAGTGCAGATATCTTTAATGGCTGAATATTTTAGATAAGCTTGTCCCAACTGTATTTTATAACACCGACTGCAATCGCGATTCAATGCTCTGTTCAACATTTGTGGCTGCAATTTTACACAAAGTTGATTTTTACAGGCAATTGTGTAAAAGCTGCTTCCTCTTAGTTAGGTCTTAGTAAGCGGTTCTACTACAGAGTATTGATCTCAAAGAAGGCTGCAGTGCCAACCTCCTCAGCAGATAAGTTTACGTCGCCTCCGCAATAAATAAGCATCAGATACTGTCCGTACAATATTGAAATGTATGTTTGTCGCCAATGAAAACTGAAAAAAAAAAATTTAAATACCCTGCTTGGTGCAAAACAGGAAAGTTAGACAGGCCTGCCATCTTTCCTGAACTCTTCTAAAATGAAGGAAGCCCTATTGCGCCATGTATGAGTTCTGTGTTTCCTGATGATGCCAAAGTGCCGTATTTGATAAAAAAAAATATTCTAATTTGTCCAAACGTGGATTCCACTGGAAACCTCAAGGTTCGCCGATGTTTCTGTAACCAAAATGGTTCAATTTGTTCGATTGGACGCAGACTGGAGGGCGAGTTCATTTCTAAAGTTTGACCACGTGCAGCAAACCTCGATGCACTGTGCGTCCTGTCACCTCTTACAGCGCCAGCTTTAACCTTCCTGGTAACCGGAGCTTTAGCAGCTCAGCCGTTGGATCGGACCACATGGTTCACTGAGGAGCCTCAGTCCGCCACCATTTACTATCCCTGATAACAGTATTTTTTACATAATAACAATCAGTTACTATTATGTAACTGATTGCTATTAAGTCACTTCATACTATTAAGTTACGTAAGTAACTTCAAAAGGTTTTGACACAACTTTTTAAAGTTGTGTTAAAAAATCCTCATAAATATAAGTAGTTACGCGAAAATCTCAGATATACCAAAAAAGAAAAATTAAGGTGACTGTGTATTTATTAACATGTTTCACGCCACTTTTTTTTTTTTGCAGTGCTTAGAAAAAGAAACACATTTTTCATCACCAGTTTCAATAACCAACTGATGTTGAAATGCTTTTCTTTTGCCGCTCGGGGGTCATGGAGACTTACCTCCACGTAAACACAAATTTTAATGAACCTTTTTCTTCTTCAGAAACCCTGCAGCCCCGTGTTTACCTAATTCCCAAGGTTTTCACGAAGGTTCCTGCTATCAGAAGCCCAGAGAGTTGAAGGTGAGAAAGCAAAACAGGAAGAAAAGGTGATAAGATGAGGCCAGATATGGTGGTGGGACTGCAGGAGTGTTTATGGTTGTGCCTGGAAAGGAATGCGACAAGTGCAGACTGGGGGAAGGGCCAGTGCAGACTGGTGTGAGACTGGTGTCACACCAAGTGGGCTCCCTCTCCTAAGCATGTCAAGAACATGCAAGCGGTCGCTTACATTAAAGCAAGCTTCCGATGATAAAAATGAAAAATAAAATCATGTTTTTGTGATTCATGTCAGAGGCTTTTGTGACAACCTGCAGCATTTGGTTCGGCAGCAGGGAGGATGTGTTTCAGCGTTACCCAGAGACCTTGGTTCCCACTGCCGACGGCAGCACAGGCCGGCAGCGCGGCAAGAATGCAGTGGGGAGGAATGTTAAACACAAAGAGCATTGTGAGACTAAACGGCTGGCGCGGCCAGCTGGGAGGTTTGGCCCGGGCGAGTTTGCTTGTTTACATCCGATTCTGCAGTGACAGCCAGTCAGATGAAACGGTCACACCATCCACATCCAGACAACGTAGACTGCTGCATGCTGCTCCAAAAAATAAAATGAAATAAATTACCATGGGTATGTAAGATGGAAGCGATTCAGGTTGTGCGGAGAACAGTTTTGCAAATATTGCAATTTGTGTTTTTAGCTTTCTTCAGAAATGCATTTTCAGGATTCTGATTCATAGGAAGATTGATAAATCATCAGATATAAAAATAAAATCAAAAAAATCCATCAATGTCAGCATCAACAGAGGAAAAAGCCTCTTTGTAGCCCTTAATCTGTTTTTTTTTTTTTTCAACATCCCACATCAGTCATAATACAGATGTTATGTAATTTTGTGCAGAATATGGACTGGAAACCCCGAGATCAAAGTGGGAAACACCCACAAAGGTGGTGGAGAACGCCAGAGCTAAGATCCTGTGGGACTTCCAGATCCAGACAGACAAAATGGTAATGGCGAACCAACCAGACATTGTCGTAGTGGATAAACATCAGAGGAAAGCCGTTGTGGTAGATGTAGCAATACCAAGTGATTGCAACATCAGGAAAAAGGAGCACGAGAAACTGGAGAAATACCAGGGCCTCAGGGAAGAACTGGAGAGGGCCTGGAAGGTGAAGACCACAGTGGTGCCTGTGGTCATCGGGGCCCCGGGGCAGTAACCCCCAAACTGGATCAATGGCTACAACAGATCCCAGGAACAACATCAGACATCTCAGTCCAGAAATGTGCAGTCCTTGGCACAGCCAAGATACTGCGCAGAACCCTCAAGCTCCCAGGCCTCTGGTAGAGGACCCGAGCTCAGAGGATAAGAACCACCCACGGTGGGTGAGAAGGGAATTTTTTATATATATATAAAAGTGGGAAAACATAACATTTTAAACTCCCAAGTCTCCCAAGATAGAAAATAAAAGTGTCATAAAAAGTACGACGCACTGTGGCCAATAAGTTCAATTTTAAAACAAATACTCTGAAAAATCCTTTTGAAAATGTGACAGACAAAATGGTCGCTATAGTGCTCAGCTACCGCCACCTGGTGGCGTTAGAGCACTATAGGAGCCAAAAAAAAAAATTAACGAAAATAAATAAGCAAGGGAGGAGCAGAGGTAGGAAGTTAACATTGAATAAGCGTAACTGAAATAAAGAGTTTTATCATGTATTTTGAAAGTGTAGCAGGTGATTCACGTTCTATCTCAGGCATTTCTGAACAGAACCAGGAAATGTTTTTCTTCTAGTCATCCAGAATTTACATTTGTGCAGAACTCAATTCTATGTTCTTTCAAGAAAGAAACCCCAATAACAAAGCAATTGCTGGGGTATTTATATATATATATTTAACATACAAAAAAAGCACAAATCAAAACTAAAGAAATGTTCAGTGAGTCTTTCTGGATGACGTCAGTATCAACTTCAAATCTGTGTTTTGTTTATTTCTACAATAACAAAAAGCAAAAGGAAATGAATTAGTTTGTCAGCATTTTTTGTTGTTGTTGTTCTTGTTGTTTACTTCTTTACTTTCTAAATGTAAGGTAAATAGTGTTGCTAGAAACAGATTTTTGAGTGGCACGTAGGAAGACTGGCTCTGGACGCTTCCAGCTGCCCGGTCACTGCAGCGTCCTCTTGAGGAAGTCCACCAGAAGATGATGAGGGAAACCGAAATCCATCTGAGTCACAACGTATCCCTACGGGACAAGAGAGGCGGGGGGGGGGTCACAGTGCAGACACCGAACGTCGACACGGACAGAAACAGAGGAGTGAAACGCATGTCTTACTTCCCGATGAAGCACCTCGGGGTCAATGATGTCAAACAAGCTGGCCCCCTGTTTGTCCATCAACCTGGTTATCTCCACCTCCAAGACTGGAAAACACAACAACATTTCTCAACTCCTGTGACAGGCGCAGCAAGGGATTTATAAACCAACTGTGGAGAAATAATTACATATATGGGGATTAGATCAAATGAAAGTAGAAAATGTTTTAAAGTCATAAGTCTGATTTGAAAACAATGCTGAAAAAGATCGTCTTGACCAAAAAGCTGCCTCTTTGATCAGGCGTAAGGTTGGGATTTGGAAGATTTGTGTTCATTTGATTTAGTCGGCCAGTTTCATACCAGACAGGACTTTAGGAATGCCTATTTTCTCCACAGCTTCCCTTAAAAACTCGACTTGAGCTTCGTCGTTGATCTGGAAACAGAAAGATTAGTCAGCGAAGAACGCCGATAGATCGTGTCTGTGAAGGCAAGACTGAATAAAAACTGAGAGATGAAGGCAGAAGAAAAAAAACCCAAAAACACATAGCACGTAAAAGCAATGGAAACCTCCTGGTTTGCAAATTGATTTGACGGTTTTGGAACATTTCGATTGCTCGATGTGCAACATCAGACCGAGTAGCAACATGTGACTCCTGTCGACGGGTTTTCTGCGCATTTCTCATAGTGCAACAAAAATAATGTTGCAACTTTTGCCACAAGTTTTTCCACACTTTCCATTATTATTCTCACCAGTGCTTTTCTGATGTTGTTTTTATTCTCACATGTGGGATGAGGCTCATGTGCTAAAAGTATTCTTCCATAAAAAATAAATATTCAGTTTGAAAAAAATGCTAAAAAATACTCACCAGTTCATTCTGCTGGGGCAGCTCAGCTCGGATGACGGAGATCCTGTAATTATCATTCCCATCACAAACAAGCAACAGAATCTGCACATACTGACTAAAATTGTATCGGTATGTGTCTTTTTAAACTGTGGATTTAGAATTATCTCTTTTTTTTGTGCTTTTTTTTCAATAACTGTCTGACAGTGTTTCACATCAACATATGTCCAGCCTTGTCACATCTCACATCTTGACAATCATCTTTCTAAACCCCAAATGCAGAGTGTCTTGATGCATGACTAAGATGACTTAGGCCTTAATTGCAACCTGGCACAGAGAAAAATTTGTCTTGTGTAGTAGAAGTATTTTTGAGTATTTTTGAAATATGACTTAAGAACCACTCAGAGTGGTTTTAATCTCCATCAGATAAGAAAATAGCAGCAATGAAACATTTTTATCTAAGGATATAAGACAAAACCTGGAGTGTCTGTTCTGACCCAAGAAGAACGTCTTTGCGTCTCGTCATCCTGAAAAATGTATAGCTGAGCCTACTTATGCAAAGAAGTAAATAAAATAATAATAATAATAATAATAATAATAATAATAATAATAATAATAATAATAATATCTTCGTGAATTTAAGTGTCTGGCCTTGAACTTCAGTTTGAAAATTTCCAATTCTAAGTACTAAAGAACAAATACTTAGCGCTTTGTTCTTGCAACAAAGACAATTTCTTCTTGCAACAACTGTCTCCATCAATTGTTGCATTTCGTTCACAGTTTAAACGAAACGCTGAAAAAAAATGAGGCTGCGCTTTCCTGCGAAGCTGCAGCCAAAGTCTGCTTGTGTGTGTTTTCTCTGTATTCACAGAAAGTCTCTTACTGTCGCGGTTTGCCGTGGAGAAAAAGCTTCTTGTCTGCATAGGAAGCTGTGACGTCCACGGTGACGTTCTGTGAAACGCGGGAGCAAACAAAATATGAGTTACAAACGACGTAATGACGACCAAAACTGTCTCGGTGCTGCTTTCTGAATGAACTAAATCTGTCACTATTTGTCACGTTGTTCACAAAATGTGAACTTTCACACAATAACAGCCCCATCCTTCCGTAGGCAAAGGAGCTTCCGGCTGGCGCGAGAGCTCACGTCGTCCTCTCTGTTCACGTTCACGTCCCGGAACTCAGCCTCGACGTACCGCTTGAAAGGACAGCGTTGGCTCGTTTCGGCTCCCGCAGCGGAGCTCCCCGGTGGCCCGAGCCCGGACGGACGTCCCCGCGGCGGAGCTGCTCAGAGCGGGAACAGAGGAGCTCCACACTCTCAGCTCCGCGGAGGCCGATTCCGACAGGCACTGAGCGGCCAGACACAAAAGCAAAGACTCACGTTTGAAGAAACGAATGAGCGAAGCGGGATGAGGGGAGTGCTGTCCTGGTTACCTGTGTGACATACTCGGGCTTGGTACTGGAGAGATTTGTCTCAAAGAGCGTCTGAAACAAAACAGAAAAAAAAACTAGACAAAACAATTTTAGTTCATGTGATTTTGTTTATGTGCGACGAGTCCTAAAAGTCCAAATAGTAACATATTTAAAGTATTTATTTAAAAAAATATATATAAAAGCTTTAATTTCAATTAAATAAACCTAACATTCTTATTTTTGACATATATTTTTTTGTTTCTAATCTATATTAAATGCTTATTCTATCTTTTCTTATGTCTTTCTTGTGCGTTAGTCACGCCTATATGTTATTTTATTCTCCTATATGTTATTTTGTTAATCTTGCTGTGAAGGGCTTTGGCGCAATTTGCTTCTGATAAAGTAAATAAAGTTGAATGGCAAAATTCTACATTTATCATTGGTGGCATTTTGTTCTGGAGGTCAAATAAAAATACTTGAACTAGCCTTTCTTTTATCTTTATAAATAAAATAAAATAAATTCTTAGTTTTTTTTCCCCCTCCTCAATCTTGGCTACAATAATAAAAAGCCAGAAGTGGCTTTGGATCATTTAGCCCAAAAACAGACAAAAACCTCCCAAGTGGCAGATGTTCATTCACACAAGGTTTTTACAAATTGTGTGTTATATCCTTACAGACTGCCGCTGGGAACTCTTTTAGAAACAGAGAAGACCAGCTTTGTGCTGACGTCGCCGCAGATTGAGACCCAATAGATCTATTTATCTCCTAAATAATATCTTGAAATGGACAAGATATCTTATTCCCACCACTTCTGGCGGAAAGCGTCTCACCTTAAGGTCCTCTGATGAAATGTTAAGTTGGAAGCGGCCATCTTGATGAGCAGCAGCAATCAGTGGTTTGAAAACGTCGTCTGTTGTTGGGAAAGTAAACAAAAATATGACAACAGCGAGGCTGCTACTGTTTTATGGAGAGTAATGGCAATTTTCCCACTTACACGGTCAAATCTGTAATTAAAAATAAATCTGCAGTAATTAATTAACTTAAATGGCTGATCTACTCAGAAATAAAATCCCAATTTAAAAATCTTCAAGAGACATCAAAAACTTGTGACGAGCCCAAATGTGTCTGTTTCTTTCCTTTTTGTCAAAAGAAAAACCTTTTTGTTTAAGTTGAGAATTTTATGTATTTATATGAGAAATAAACAACAGCAAAAAACATAACAAATAAAAACACTTATTCTGCAAAATCCTACTATGGAAATCTACATTTGAACTGTGTTTTTACTGTCAAAGCGACGACTCCCGGGAGAAAATGACGCCACTTCCATTGCTTTAAAGCATTTCCATCAAAGCCCACCTGAGAACCAGAAGTAAAGCATCCTGTTTTCAGTCAGACGATCTGGGTGAAAAACTGAGGCGTTGATCACAGAAGTCAAGTTTAAGTAGGTTGTCAGACCCTGAAGGAGACAGACATCAAAAAGCCTCGAGGAAACGTCCATGACGCTCCGTAACTCTGACAAGATAAAAGGGATGCTGTATACTCAGATGGTCTCAAATGACCTTTCTGACCTTGTGGTAGGACTCTATGTAGTCCGCTGTGATGACAGGAGTCGTGGTTACGCCGATGTCGACACTGATGCCGCCGTCACTGAGGAAGTTCGCTGCGGACACAAACGTTCGGATGTTACGACAATCTCAGAACATCGAACACGAAGAGTCAAGAGCCTAAAACTCAAAACGAATACCGCACTGCTCTGTCAGATAAAAAAATCTGCCAGCTGGTCCACGATTAGAGTAAATTAGCTCCTCAGACGCCGAGACAACGTCGACCTGGATCTCACAGGCGACATAACTCTCACCCGCCGTGTCTTGGATGAACTCAGCCAGGATGTCCGCCAGCTTGTTGATCTCTTTGCAGATCTGCGTTTGTCGACACACTCGTCACCACGTTTGTCTGGAAGCGGGTGTGAAAACACCAAGGCCTTCGGTCTCCAGCCTCACCTGTCCTTTGACGACCAGCTTCACTGTGAAGGTGATGAAGTCGGTGAAGAGCTTCTTCAGCCAGTTGGGCCTGATCAGCAAACAGTGAGACACACATTGACACCAGTGAACATATTGACAGGATTTTGCAAAGTGAGAAAAATGAGACGAGGAAAAACTTAAGATTTCCTCCCCACCACAAAAGACGGATTTGTTACATTGACATGTGTAATTGAAAATTGAAGTTTTACTGTCAATTTTGATGATTTTTCTTTTTTTACATCGCAAAAACATGGATTTTAACATATATGTGTGTATGCGCTTTTTTTTCATCTAGTATAGTTTCATCACTTACTCCTTGTCTCCCTCCAGATAGAGGCGAAACTTGTGAAAATTCAGGTAACAATCAGACGTGTCTGCAGCGACCTTTGAACTACCGCAGTCTGAACAAAAAGTTTGGGAATAGAAAGAAGAATGAATTAGAAAAAAACGGAGAGGGTGAATATAACTATCTATGGTAACAATTTCTATAATGAGACCCCAAAATACATCAAAACATGTGAAGTTGAGAATGGGCATACTTTTTTTTTTTTTTTTTTTTTGCATTAATCAGTAGCAAAGAATAGATGTAATTAAACTTTAATAAAACATCTTTCAATCAGAAAATTATTGGATAATAATTTTCCAATAATAATAATAAGAGATTATTAGAGTGAAACAACTGTGTGAAACTAGTTAAATGAAAAAGATCTTTTGAAACTAATGGGGGCGAAAAAACAGTCCATTATTTACTTACAAAGTTTTGGGTTGATTCCAAGATCAATCTGAGTTTCAATCTCAAAGTCAAGTTTGTGTCCAACATTGACTCTGACAAGAAAAGAAAAACAAAAATGAAATAAGAGAAACAAACAAAACTAAAACGTTTTACTCCTATGCACATTATTGTAATTTCCTAAACTTATCCTATTGGTATGTCACATGGCAGAAGAACACTGTGACATAGCTTTTGAATTATTCACTTTTCCAACAAATTAAAATCCAAATCCCGTGTCCCATTTTGTTGATATTAAATAAAATGTCGAATCAAGTTGTATATTATGTCAACATTTCACCGATCATTGTTACAGAAACCTGCTGCGTGAGTCTTTTGGCAGAACCGTTTTAAATCATTTTTTAATAATCTTCTGAATATTTTTGAGTCGTCTAAGCAATGAAGTATGCTTGTCGCAGCATTATGTATCCGTCCATCCGTCCATCCGTTGATGGACGGAGGTCAACAGAGGGCAACATCTGGAAACGTGTTGAAAGTGGTGCAATGCTGGGCGGCAGGTTCAGATGCTGACAGAAAAATGACCCTAAATGTATAGAAGTATTTCAGACTGGTTTTGATCGAAGCGAATTCCAGGGTCTGAATAAAAATGCATCAGATATTTTTATTTAGAAGAAGAAAAAAAAAACAACTTACACCAACATAACTCTTTTCTTCCCTACCTTGAGTTGATCTATCATATAAACACTGGCTCAAGTACTTTGTGACTGCAATGTGTCACAAACTTTTTTTTTCTTTCTTCTTTGGACCAAACTTGCACATTGGGACTCACAGCCAGCTGCCATATCCGTACTGAATGGTGCCACTGAACACGGCGGAGACGTTGCGTATCTCCAGACCGATGCCTTCCCCTGGACGCAGCTCAAAGTCACTCCGGCCGATCGACAGGTTGTAAATCTCCAAACTGGGCGAGTCACAAAGAGAAAAGCCTGCAGCAGCTTGCTGTGCTGTGGACACATTGTTGCGGAGGTGTGAGCGGGAGCACTTACTTTTCCAGGCCGTATGAGACTTTGCCGAAGAGGCCGGCAGATTTCTCTCCTTGCATGCTTGGGTAGCGGGCGTGTTGGAAAGCCGCCTCGATAACTTTAGTGGTTTTCTCATTCACTAAAGACATAAAGACACAAAAGCAGGACCAGACTGTGAAAAAAAACAACAAATTGCTCGTTTATTATCTGGTTTTAATTTTTCTTTTGTATCAAGAGCTTCAGATCATCAAATAAATTTTATATAATACAAAGATGGTCCTGAAAACAGTTTGGATGACTATAATTTCATTTATCCAGCATGAATAAATATCCTGTAAATGGAGCCGATGTAAAAAAATATGTGTCTTTTAGCCAGTTCGAAGAGTTTTGAGCACATCCTAGTATCTCTTGTTTGATCTAAATCTGGATCACATTTTTTTTCTAATGTTAAAAAAATGTCTTGTTTGGCAATGCAGACATTGACAGTAAATTCTTACTTTTATGTTATCAACCTGCTATTTCTGTCCCAATTCCACATTCATTCAGGTCTCCAATCATAAGCCAAAGTTCACTAAATTACTTGAATATATAAAACACTATATATTCCTAGCAACAACAATTTAAAAAAAAAAAAACTAGAAAGACATGAGTATTATAAACATTTTAATCTTTTTTATTGTAATTTAATTGTTGGAACCAAGTGAAAAGCCTGCTATTTTGTGTTTGTGCTCGAGTTGTATCCTTTGTTTACACCTCTTTGTTTTCGTCAACTTGGTGTTTTGTCTTGTTCTGTTTTTGCTCTTAGTAAAGATTTATTGTAAGTCAGATCTTAAGCTTGGAGTTCATTTCTTGGCCAAAATATCTACTCTTGTACTTGCTGGTAAAACATGTTTCCTTTGGTCATTTTACAGAATTTGGATCAGTTTGAAAATGCCGGGAACAAAGATCTCAAACGATCCAATGAGGTGAGTGTTGTGTGTTTTGTTAACACACGTTAGTGCCTCCAGTTTAGAGGCATTCTTGGCTGCCCAATAATGCAAAGGTCAGAGGTGATGTAACCTATCAGAGAAACAGTCGAACAATCCTCAGCTCATGGTCAGATTCTAAGCGAGAGAAAAGCCAAAGGTCACACAGTAAGACAATGGAAACCTTCAGAAGTCCTGAAGAAATATTGATTAAGACCAACAAAGGAAAGCAAAACAAAGCAATGATGGGCGAATTAAGACGGCAGGGTTCTGTAACCAGCTTTTGAAAGAGGTGGTAGAGCAAAATCGCCCAGTCAGGATACATGTCGACTCAAAAGCCCCTGGGGAGGACTTCATCATTTCTCTACAGTCACTTATTGCATTTGGCATAACCAGAGTGGATCAGGGGAAGCGGGTGCTACTCACACACAGCGGCCGCAGGATAGGTGAGTCTGCACACAATCCCAGTGTATTTGTAGGCTGAAGAAGGATCCTGAAGGCAGCCGTGGGTCGTTCCAACCAGAAAGAGAAGCAGCAGCCATGGGGAAATTTGGCCTGGCATTCTGCTAGATCCTCTGACTCTCGAGTCACTGCAACAGTCGCTCCGCGGCATGTCAAAGCGTAGACAGACTGCCTTGTTCATCCAATCAGAAACGGAGGAGTTGTGTGGCGTACAGTAGGAGTGAAGAGACAAACAGACTAGGATTTGGGGAAAAAAAAAACAGGTCAAAGTGCAACTTTGTCAGTGAGGCAACGGCTGCAAAACCTACTGCACAAACTAAGGAGGGCAAGTTGACGGAAGAGGAAAAACAACTCATGTTAAAGAAAAGAAGTCAAGGCAAACGTCATTATTGTACAAACCCACAAAAATGATATTTAAAAAAAATGTCCAAGAACTTGGAAAAACATACATTTCTGTCAAAAACTCCCAGTCTCCCTGCTCTGTCCAGGGGACCAACTTCCCTGCACTGAGCTCTGTTTGAACAAAGAGGCTTTTAACATGCAAAGGTTCTCAGGGTAACTGGATACAGGAGCCGAGTCCAAGTATTCATGTCCGACTGCGTTTTGTCCTCCGACTCTCCTGTGGATGAGTTGAATTTGACCTCGTGACAGCATTATGTCAGATTACAGAGTCCTAATTTGTTTACATTTAAGTTCCATGCGAGTTGTTAAAAAAAATTAATTTGTTTATATTATCAAAGATGCGATCTGCAATGATGGTCCGCACAGAGAGAAATGTAAATTGGAGAGAAACAGAAGATTGGCCAACTTTGCTATTAATATACCAATTTGATACAGTAGGGACTTCCGCACTTCCCTTATCTGTGTCCTCTGTCACTGTTTTCAGCAGTTAAAACTGTTTAATCCGTTGTTAAGCTGGAGATTCTCACAAAAACTATCTGGGGATTTTACCGAGTTGAACCGCCTGTGAGCTGTATGAGACTTAAAAACAGTTTCTTTGAAGTAAAACAATTCTCCCGACCTCCTCTTGGAGACCTCAAAAGACAAAATGGTAATAATACTGGGTAGACAGTCAGAAGCTGATTGAAAACCCATTACAGTTTAACTTTGACCGAACATGTGGACTATGGTGGAATTTAAACGTCAAATAACTCAACAGTGCTGAAAACATTTGACCAATCAATACGCTTCGGGTTCTGGGAAACGTCCCATCAGGGCTTTTTCCTATGATTTCCTTAGGCAGTGGAAAAGGAAGGGACATTTTTTTGTTTCTTAAAAGGGCAGAAACACTTTCTTCACAAAACAGAAACAAAAAAGACAGTATTATTTGACATACAAACATTTATTGCATCTTTTATAAGAAATGTTTCCATTGCATTAAAATAAAGATGAAAATGTCCACTACACACAGTGATCTTTGCCACAGTCTTCTGTCCTCCCCACACAGGAGACACAAGCACTAAGTTAAGGTACAGAAAATATACAAGATTACACAACTAGCTTTCATTCTGCTTACTCAAATGTTCCTTCAAGGCTTTACAGAGACAAGATTATAAAACTTATTTATTTACCATTACAGACCAAAATTCATGCGAAAGAATTAAATACTAAAGTCATTTGTATCTGATCACTTCCCATTCAACATATTATAGAAAATATTAGGAAGATGAATAGTGTATTGCATTATATAATCTGGAATGCTACGAGAAAAACACATCGACAAAAAGCCGAGACATGAAGTCCTCCTGATATTATTTTTTTCACAATATGGTTTGCGTCTTCATATTGAATTTGATCTGTAATTCTAACTATTTATGTGTGAAAGGCTCTGAGACCCTAAAAGGTCATGAGTCATAACCTCTATGTTGAAGCTTGCATATGATAGATGTAAAGTGCGTTGTGGAGACAAAAAAATATATATATGTACAGTTTTTTTTTTCAAACATGCTTTTACAAACCACTTTTCAAATCAATTACGTAAAAATATTTGTATTTGGTCAGGAAGAATGTTTCAATAAAAATAATCATCTGGAATCAAACCTATTTTTTTTCCCGTGTTTAATACGAGACATGAATTTCTTCTTGAAATAAATTGTATTCAAATTATAACTTGAAGTTTGTGGTGTGGCACTCCTGAAAACCACCTGCTATCACAGGCTAGCAAGCTGACTTGTTACTTTATTCAGTTTCCAGAAGGTCCATCAAGTTCCTTTGCCTCTGTAGTGACAAAACGCTTAAAAGTGAAAACCACCTTAGTTAAAAATGTACTAATGTTCTTTCAGAGAATCTAAAAACAGATTCAGGAGTATCTGTATGTGACAAACTTACAAGTCACATACTACTCTTTTTTTTTCTTTAGATCTCATCAAATTCAAATGCATTTGGAAAAAATAATCCCTCATACTAAAAGAGAAATCACAACAAGACTTTCCTTCCTTTACCTTCAGGTTCCACCTTGTGCCTCCTGATGAAGCATTAAACACGGTGCTGGGATAGAAACCTGAAACTAGCATGAGAAACTGCCAGCTTTCAGTCCTTTGGTACCGTCCATATCGTTTTGGGCAGGTCTCGTTGTGCTGGTATTCGGCTTGCCGCTTCCTGCTGCCTCAAGATCCCAGCATGCTCTCCTGTTGCCATTATAAACCAAACGCTGCCTTCTCAGGAGCTCAGTTCGCCATGCCCTGAGCAACCTCAGGTATCAGGGAGGAGAAGAAAGTCTTGAAGAAGACCCAGGCTGTCCACATGACAGACACCCTGTGAGGAGGAACTAAAACCGCCGCCATCGGCTCCTCAGATTCCTCAGCTGCGTGGTCCACCACCTGTCCATCAGCTGCTTCTTCGGCCTGAAGGGTCAAAGGGCAGAAAAGTTTCTCAGTGAAAAGTACTTCACAATAAACCTCCATTTGTGGGTCATTTGTTTCCCTTTGACCAGGTCAAAACAATTCTGGTATAAAATTAGCGACGAGCAGGTTTAAACAATCTGAAGAAACTGGAAATTTAAGCGAATAAAATTCTTACAAGATTATTCTCAGGGTTCCTGTCCTCATTCCTCTGGTTGTGTTGGACCTCAGGGGGCTGGAGGTTGTGTGCTTGAACCGGTGCTGGCCTTCTGAAGGGAAACCAGCCCATAGTGTGTCTGCATATGCAAAGAGATGAGAAATTAGCTTCTGCAAATGCCAAAATGTTCAATTGTGTCAGTATTAAACCATATCTGTGGGCATTAAAAATCAAAGTTAGTATAATTAACAAGGTTGCGCACCGCAAAGCCAAAACTCTGACCTAAAACACAAGAATCCATCAATCAGAAAATATATTTAAAACATAATCTATTAAAATTGGCTTCAGAACTGCATTACATTTGTAAAATAAAAATAAAAAAAGCTGAATTCTGATTGGAGATTCATGATATAACATTAGCATATTTAATCTTTTCTGTGTGTGTACAAAATGAAAATATTTTCTCCTGAGGAGTTTGAAAAAAAATTAAAAAAGAGGAGATAATACAAGTTTTCAGATCAGCTTTAAGTGCCTCAGATCCTGACGGCTGGGCGACTTCACACAATCAGCTCCCCCTGCTGGTCAGTCACCACAAATATCTCAGATACAAAAAAAAAAAAAACTCAGAAGCTTCATTCTGGTGTTTTTTTCTACTGAATAGAGAAGGTGTTTGGCACATGGACTTCAAATTGAATCTGTTACTTGCTAAAATAGATTTTTGTTTGTCCAAATGAATTATGGCTGGATGACACTAAAGTACCAGTAAAGTATAAACCACAGTAAAGTACAGCCACTAATGAATAATCAAAGGAAACCAAACAATGACTGATGATTTGGGAAAAGTAACACTTGTTTTTGTTTTTTTTCCACTTTTCTTAATGCTGCTTATCAGCCAAGAAGATTTATTCTCAAATTGATTCAAAATATAAAAACAGAGAGCAGCAGAGGTGCTTACAGATACATGACGAGCAGCGTGCTCATCACCAGCAGAAAGCGGCTCAGGTTGGAGTTGAAGTAGACGATCATGAGCAGGACGGAGAGTCTCGCCGCGGAGTACAACCAGTCCAGCCAATCGCGCTCCACGTCCTCCTCGTCCTCCATCACGGGCCCGCCCTGTGCGTTCATTCGCATGTTCTGATTGGCCTCCCCCGGGTTGATGAAAGCGGCGTCCTGCACCGGGTTCTGGTTCACTGGCAGGTTGTCGATGGGGTTCTGATTGGCCAGAGGGGCTGGGACAGCGACTTGGTGGGCAGGGACAGGTGGGTATTGGCCAATGGTTGCCACCGGCGTCAGGGGAACGGAGCCTGCCGCTGCCATGGCTGCGTGGCTATTGGTGGGAAATTGGATTTAGAGATCAGAAATCCCTAAATATTGATCCAATGGAGAGGATCAATAACCAACAGATACTCACTACTGCATGTAATATTGTCTTGCGTAGACATGTTGGAGCCACAGGAGCTGCTGGGGGCTGTACAGAGATAAGGCAGGAAAGGCTGGCTGGGTCAGCTGGGATGCTGCAGCGCTGCGGGAAAAATAGAAATCTTATAAGAAACGTGATCTTGTGTCCAAGAAAAACACCAGCAGCGATAAAATATGGAACGCTTGGCTTAAAAACCACATGCATATTTATTTGTTGGCCAGGTGGAAGCTGATGCTAATGCTCACAATCTGAAAGCTGCACTTGTAAAAAGAGCTATTCATTCTGAAAGTGTTGGGTGCTCTCATGGAAGCTCCCAAGTGATTTCTTCTCAAATGTCTTTAAATTTCACTTCAGTCTGTGACAAGAGGTTCCTCCGAAGAGAGCAGCAAACAGAAGTGATTGCACGTCTTGGGGTAATGACAGGCTGCATCTTGTGGTTTTCCTCTCTTTTTTTTCTTAGATTTTTGTAAACAATCTTCAGCAGCTTTGTGCCGTTTCCCCTCCCGCTCTGCACCTTGCTTAAAACACTCTTAAATCGCGAAAGTTGTCTCTTCATGGCTTACGGTGTTGAAGCAGGCCATGTTGGAGCTGCAGGCGTCTGTGTGTGGATCTGAGCAGCAGTCGCTGAAGACGTCTGCCTCCTCTGTCTGAGCTCTGGTGTGCTGGGAGTCTGAACAGGTGGGCTCACACTGGAAGGATGTGGTTGTTCTGCCTCTTTGCTCTGCAGAGCAAAACACAAAGTGTGAGAAATGTGAGAGGTGGCGTACACCAGGGTTCTGCAGCTTTTATGATCCAAAGAGACATTTTGCTTTCAGTCGAGCAAAAATATTTATTCATCTATTTTTTAAGTCACTCTACAACAGGAAATTTGACCTAAATTTACATTTATTTCGATTTTCAGGTTTTAAAAAAATAATAATGGGGGGGAAAAAAGAAAAAAAAGAGAATAGATATAATTTCCTTTATAGGATGTTGAGATTTGTGGGAAATGCAGTAAAAATAAATTAATGAAAAAAAGCACATAATTTCCAACCTAATTGAAAAGACAGAGCTAAAATTATTACTGGTACTTTTGCAAATTCAATGCAGTTATTCTATAGAAAAACCCCTAAAGGTTTTATATATATATATATATAATATATATATATATATATATATATATATATATATATATATATATATATATATATATATAAAAATCTGTTCATCATTTTGAGTAAAAGATATGAAGAGTGAAAGACCTGCTAAATACTCTGCCCTGGTTTAATTAAGCAACAGGATGCACAAACATCTGCAGCTTCTGAGTATTAACCAAAGTACAGAAGGCAGTGAAACTGAAGCGAGCCATCTTTAGGAGTAAGATGTTTGAGGATGACAGATGAACTGGAACTGTTCCAGCTCACAGCATGTCAGTAGAAAAGAAGGAGTTGAATGAGCACACCTGCTATAAAGAGGGTAGGGGTTTTCTTTTTTTATTTTTTGTCAGTTTGAAAACAACTCGTTCATTAAAATCTGATGAAACATATCTCAGTCCAATAGACCACATAATTTCTAAAACCAAGTTTTAAAAGCCTGGAATATCAATAAAAGAAGATTAAGCGAAACATTAAGGTACCAAACAGTACTTTCAGCTCCACATAAAGAAGTGAAATATGCAAAAAAAAAAAAAAAAACTGCTGATAAGACGACAAACCACTTAGGAGAACAAAACCAGAGACTTTCGGAATTAAAAGTCAATCTCTGCTTTAATGTATGTTAATGTGTGTTTGGCCGCTCTTATGTAATGGTAACCACAACTGTACTCAAAAACATTGGACGCATATTTCCAAAAACAAAAAACTGTTTTTGAAAAACAACTCTTGTTTACCATTTTCTCTCAAGGTTTCAGTGAGTGAAGCTTAAGATTTTATGGCCATTACAGTAGAAATTTTAGAATTGCAAGAATAGAAAAAAACTCTGCCTCCATAAGTTTAGTTGTTCAAGATGGCTAACTTTGGTTTTTAGCCCAAAGTTAGTCAAAATGACACTTTAATACAATTTACAGAAAGATTCATAATCATTACTGATGACAGGTTTTACCCTGCTGTTAAAAAGCCTCGTTTTAAGCCAAGCTTGGTTAACTCTCCCTCGGTCTTAGCATGATGCTCAGGAGGAGGGTGGCAGATATCACGGTCAGACAGCAGGGGAGCAGGGAGTAGTTGTCCCATTAGATTGTTTGTCCCCAAAAATCACACACACAATGTGCTCATTCATGACAAAGGAGCAGGCAATTTTAGTTTGACTTGAGAGACATATGAAACACTTTTTGAAGCTTTCAGACTTCTAGAGCCTCCTGAAACTCTATCTTTGTTATTGAGCTCCCACCCCACAAATAACTGCAGAGACTGCAGTTCTAAATCAGTAATTTAAAGACTTTTTAACTAATGTTTACCTTTGCTTGGGGTGGATTCCTCATGGGGCACACCAGGTGCAAAGTGGGAATGGAGTCCATCTGCAAAGTTAAAAATAAAAAAAAGTGACTTTTCCTCCATGTAAACCCTCACTGTCGTCACTTTGGGGGAAAACAATGACAGCAAGCTGCAATAAACACAAAATGCTGCTTGTCCTTCTGTCACGTTGGCTACAACACAGCTGGTGTTTCTTTTCCATTTATGCAAGATTATGGTTATTTCACAGTGGAAAGGTCTGGGTCGCCTTAAATCTTTGACAACCAGAACAATTTCCCAGTCACATAAAATCTAACATTAAAGAAAAAAAAATGTTAGATGTAAAAACACAATAACTTAATTTAGCACTCAGTGCATTCTGACACCTGATTTAAACTTGTTTTCTCAAAGCTGATGCAGAAGAACAAAGTCTTTGCTAAAATATAGATATAATAGATTACATAATTCTTCAGGAAACAAAAAGAGAAGCCAAAAACCTTTAGACTTTTGCACTCTCACAGTATTTGCTAATCAAATGACATTACACGATGGATCCCTAGAATATTACCCTGTAATGTTTCTTGTTATGAGCAGCATTTGCATGCAGCTCCAGGCTCAGCTCTACTGATCCTGCTTAACACAGAGCTGGTGTTTCTTTTCTCAAAGCAAGAGTTTGCACCAGTTCATACTAGTTGGTGTAATCACTCTGAAGGTAAGGACACTAACAAAAGTCAATCTTGGATGGCTGGGAGCATGCTGAAATAAACTGGTTCGCAACACAGCCCAGCGTTAAACATTCATGGCACGCCTAAAAAAAAATTTGTTCATAAAACAGTGCCATGGCACTTAAGAAAACGCATGAAAAAATTGTGTTTTTAAGAATGTTTGCTAAACAACAGCATTGTTTTCCAATCGCTCCCAAGATAAAAAAATATGAAATGTCATCCAACACTGAATTTAAAAAACAAATTCAGTGTTTCAAATGGGTTTGAAAGAACCCATTTACAGGCTGAGGAACTCCTTGAGAGGCTCTTAAATATCAAACAACTTTCAATGAGAAAAGTGTCCAGAAATTATGTACTTTGCATTACACAGAATCATTTTAACAAGTTTATATATTTGAAGCTTAATCGTAAATCTGAATCATGTCTATGTTCTAATAAACTTAAGCAGATTGAAATGAACAATGAACACAATGAAAACATACCTGTCTGAAAAGATCTTTGATGTGCAAATGATCAGGTAGAAGCTTGCCAGCAAAGATCAGTCTCTGGTCACTTACTGCCTAAAATACATAAATAAATAAATAAATAAATTCAATTTCAGGCATGAAATCATTTTGAAGAAAGAAAATCTCACATTCAACCAATTTTCTACTAACAATAATTTGCTATTCATGTAAAGAAAACTTAAAATGCTATGTTTCAAACTGCAAAAGAGCAAATAAACATGTCTATGTTGTCATTAAATAATTGGCTTTTGTAGAGGTTTTTGACAGCAATGTTATTTTTAAAATACTACACAGGTAAGGTGAGTTTTGCAAAACTTTTTGAAAGAAAAATGTTGAAATACAGCAGTTTCTGCATTTTGCTTGCAAATACCTGCCTCGCCTGTTCCCACAACATCTGACTATTGATAGTGCAGACCTAATCAGGATCAACTCAGATATTGACAACCAAAACAGATTTGAGCTGATCTAAAAATGAAATCTGTTCTGCTTGCCGGGCAATTTCATTCTTAGATTTACATAAATTGGCTGCGAATGAGCGGAGTGTTATTTAATATTAACAGAGTCGGCTAAAACCACATGGCTTACTTCCCAGGGTTGATCAATAATAATTAACTTTACCACGAAACTGCAGCTTCTCTTTAACTTTGAATTTTTTTTTTTTCAGTTTTGTGTCTGGGGTCTCACCGACTAACTGCACCATCTAACCTCAAAAACAAATGCAACAAATTTTTAGTTGCTGGCATTTCAAAACTTTCCGATATTAAGGTAGACATACAAAGAATATAGTTTTTACAATTTTATCCAACATCGGTGGGATAGTGTTGGGGCCTTGATCCAATAAAATGCATGTTTATCTGAAGACCATCCTTTAAAAAAAATAAAATTAAAAACAATTCAACCAAGTGGCTTGCTCAAAGTACCTATATTTTGACTAAAACATCTACTTTGAATAATGAAAAAGCGCATTTTTTTTGTTTTAAGGTTTAATACTCCTCATTCCTGTTGTAAAACTGTCTTTCTCCATGAATAAATTCAACATAGGCTGGTATTTTTCTAGTATTTTGGATCAACATATATTTGATACGATTACCAAAGGCAAAATAGCCATATAAAATAGTTTGTTTACCACTTTGCGGCCATCTTTAAGCATTTTGGGGTTGGAGCATTTCACGGGTTTCAATGAAAATGGAACCTTCATTTTCACAGACATATTAAACTGTCATTGCTTGATATGTAACTTGTAGCTCTTTCAGATAAACCTGTTGATTCTGGGGTATTCTCTGTATCAGTAACTACTTCAATTGAATCTTGTTGACTCCAGCGCCTTGAGTTGACCTCTGTTGAATCTTCACAAACTGTACTCTCGTTGCTTTTTTTTTAGCTTGAGGGAAACGCTGCTATACAAACTAATCTATGGCTTACAAAGACCGCATCAAGAAGATCTCCATGGCCCCTTTGAGGACCCGTAACAAGCGGACATTTAGAACAAATCCACCCAGGCAGGAAGAGGAAATGGCTGACAGCTGTTATGACATTCCACAACTTAGCCTCGAGCTAATATCCAGCTTCGTATTACTTACCGGTTTGCTTGAGTAAACCCTCGACAAATGAGCCTTCAGGTCCTTTACGGTCCACTTCATGTCGACCCCGTCAATAATTTGGTCCTCCTGAGCCTGGTTGGGCGTTTTAACGAGAAAACTGGTCGTCTTTTGTTGGGAATCTTCTAAATCCATTTTCACTTTGGAGTCAGTTGATGCGGTCGCGAGAACTAGGTGGAGGTATTCGCCACAACAAGGCGACTCGGGAAAAGCGACGCGCTTCTGTAAAATATGCGGGTATAAAAGTGAACCTTCTCTTGAGCTGAGAAACTTTACGAACGGAGATGCGTCTGGAACTGTCTGTGGCGGTCCGTCGAACGGGACTTTACAGGAGCTGTGTTGTTTCCAAACACACTGTGGCTGCCCCTGATTGGCTAAACGCCACTTTCGCTCAGACGTGGAGGCTCGTCAAATGTTTGCCACTGAGAGCATGCGCAGAAATCTACAAGTCCACCTCGCAGCAATCACTCAAAGATCGTCTATTTTTACTATGCTGCCTGAAATAGCTCACTTTTACTCAAAGTTGACAACTCTTTATACATTTTTAACACAAAGAGGAATATCCATCTTATATGTTTGAATTCCTCAACAAAACATTTTATGAAATTTTACAGCCATGTTTCCACTTCAGTAGCATCCCTTACATTTGTTGTATCTGAAAAGTCAACGAAGTGTGTCCTCACTCTTAACCCCTCTGTGATTGAAAAAGCAACTTGTCAGTCCATTGCTCATCCAGCAATGTTGCATCAGTGAGCTTATTCACATGGGTACATGTAAATGCGTTGCAAAAACATCGAAATATTCATTTGTGTCAGTAATTACACAGATTATTTAAGAGGGAAGAATGAAAAAGATGTATTTTAATGGGGCTTGTGTTAGACATTACCAAAGCTATCCATACCCTTTATCCTTGATCCCTTTTAAGATGGAAGATGGAGAAATAAAAACATTACGGTCACTTCATAGGTAAAAAAAAAAAAATGCAATTTCACATTTTTTTTTCTTCCAGTGTTTCACATGTGAACATAAAACATGTTTTTTTCATGATTAAAAGTTAAAGGAATAAAACTCCAGAAATAAATTATGACATTTTTTAATCCAAGCTGATTAATCACACACATATACTGTTTGAATGAAAACAAGAAAAGATAAAGCTGTCACATTATTAATGTACTTTGCAACATGTCAGAATTAGAAAGGAAATTTTGATTTATTAAAGGCTATTTAATGAAAACAAACAGTTGAATTAACTACAGGAGCAGTGTACCAAGAAACATGCCGAAACGTATAAGTCGACAGCTTAATTGGCTTATTCATTTCTAATAACCATATCTTCATAGCGTGAAGTTGAATGACAGAAGATCAAAAATTGTGTTTGTGATTTGCCAGACTTTGTCACAATTTTCAGATTTTTATTTCGAAAAATTGTGAAAACAGAAAATAATTTCCTTACACTTCACAATCATGCACTACTTTGTGTTGGTTATAGAAACTATGTCATATGTAAGTATTTGACTGACAGTGTGAAACAATTACAAATATAAAGCTTATTAAATTAGGCATTGATATAGAAATGGGCCTTGATTTAGATTGTCATTTTAATGTAATATTATGCTATTGTGTTTTAATAAATTACATAATTAAGTCTTGGAAGCAAATCGCTCACATTTTTCACTGTCAACCCAAATTTTGAATAAATCAGAAAAGGTGTTAAAAAGTAAAGCAGACATGCCACACTTTTTACCCCAAATGTCATTAAATTGAAAATTAATGGAGACAAAATGACCATAAATCCTTAAAAAAGGAACCCTGGAAATGGGAAATTATTTTTTTTGCGTCTAGGCTACTTTTCAAACATCTATATTATTGTGATGTCGGATTGAATTGCACATGTTACATTAAAATATAGTAGGTTTTTCAGCTCTCAAGGCCCTACAGCATTTCCTTTTTAAAAAAAACATAATTAGTGGAAATTTTTTTTATTGGCAATAGAAAGTAAGAACGCTCTCTTGGTTTCCTCTGACCATCAGGACCGGCGGTCTAAGATCCCGGGACAAGACGTCGAGCCAAGCCAGGTACAGAGAACTGGGACACCCGTCTCTCCTCCCCACCGGCATGGTGCTGTTTGGAGATGCAATGAAACACACACCACAGGATTTCTTTTCAGTTTGCAACAATCCCATCTTTTAGTTCGCTGGAAGGAAGCAGCGAAAGTTACAAATGTTGCACTCACATCACAACCAGAGCTGCATCTCTGGAGTAATCCAGCAGCACTTCATTCAGACGAATCTGACGGAGGGACTGAAGGTCACACAGAGTTAATTCTAGTGAAGAAGAGCTGGGGGACAGAAAAAATGTGAGCGGTAAGCATTTCTCAGACCTTAGCCATGTTCCTCTCTAAATCCTGGTTAGTGATCATCCAAGGTGCCGCCTGCTGTCTTGGAGGGTCAGAATCGGAGTCCTGCTTAGGATTCGCGTCCACCCTGAAGCGACCAATCATGTTCTCGAAATGATGGACACTGGAGAACAGAAGAAGTTACCGATTAGATAATGTTTCAAAAGTCTGGACCAGCGTGTTTTATTTTTTTCTCCCTCATGCTGGATGGAAAAAGAGAAGTACACGTCATGCAGTTTTTCTTGTGGTGTCACCGTTATCAGCAACAAGTTGCTTTCTGAATGACTTCACCATTCTGTCACACAGCTTAGGAGTGACTTTGGTTTAAAACAAGCCCAAAAGGATCATCACGTTCACCAACACGCTTGAAATTGGCTTAAGATCTGTACCATGTTGACTGAGATCTGGCATGGAGTTTCTGGACCTTTCACAATCTCTTGCGTGGACGATGTCATAAATCTGATCTCGAGTCAGATTTACTGGAATGCCCGATCCTGGAACAAGCATGCAGTCTTACTTGACAGGCTGAGGGTTTTCGTAGATGTCAGAAATCACTTCAACATCTTGGAAACCGAGACGGAACCTCTTGATGAGAGACAAAACCCTGGAAACAAACCACACGGCTTAGATACTAGTCATGTAATCTCATAAAAATAAAAACAAGCCTCTTTTCAAACAAAAAAAGAGATTCTTCTCTTATGAATATATTGCTTAATTTAACATATTCTCCAAAAGAAACTAACATAGCACATCTCTTATATCAACCAAGTGATCTTACTCTTCTTTCTGCTCGTCCTTTTTGTCTTTTTCCCCTCCAACAAAAACTCGGACCTTACACCTGGCCCAGCGCTTCCTGCGAGTCAGCAGGTATGGCAGCAGCAGCGTCAGACCTGACAACAGCATGATCATCGTCAGAGAAGTCAAGTCAGAGAAGCGAGAGGTGAAGGTGGCGACTGGCGACTGCAGACGCGGCGGTCCCACCTCCGTCATCAGACAGCCAGTAAACGTCAATGGTCTTCTTCCCTTGCTTTTTCTGGAACACGGTGGTGAGTTGTGGCTCGAGATCGACAGTGACAGAAGCTGCAAACGATAACCAAAGTATGATCTGAATGCACTTAATGCTCCGTCGAGGAAGATGCATCTTTTCTCGTGGTGCGATGATGTGCACAGTACATACATGCTGTGCTTGTTCGAATGAGGGAGGAGGGAGAGATGGAGCTGATGTCCTGTCCCTCATCAAAACCTTGATTAACTGCATTAAGAACAATTATCAATGCCAATGTGAGACAGGGAAGAGTGCAATGAGTGCTTAATCACTTTGAATTGTTCTTTAATAATGCTCTCACCGTGTGACTTAGGTGGATGGGAGACATCTAAACCCTCTTTCATCCTCAGCACACACACTCCAAATTGCAGGTCGAAGGCGTCACTGACGAGCGCATGAAATTGAATTCAACAAAGCTTTGTTTTCTTCATGTTTGGTCAACAAAATAATGGTGTATCCATGAGATTATTCATGCTAAGGAGACAGGTTCGTAAGATATTACTCACTGCAGGATTTCTATGTAGTTGTGTGCAGCGAGACATGGCTCGGAGCGCCAGTCTTTCTTGAAACCCATCAGCAAAACGTTTGGCTTTATTCGACCCAATCCTGCCCCCTGGTGGGGAGTCAGCAACACGAGCAGAGTGGAAAGAAGATGGCCAGGTTATTAAATAGATCCTGTGAAAGTGAATCCTCAATCAAACTGTACAAATCCCATGCCAAACCATCGGACGCGCATTATGTTGCATACACTGAACTCTAATAATTATCGAAGCACATTATTCCGTGATAGAAAACATGGTCAAAATAACATTTTGAGTGCAGCACTTTGTTGAATAGAAAGATATTTTATGGGAGAGACTACAACACTGATTCTTGTTTGAACCATATTTTGATCGTCAAGGTGTTTCTGACCTGAAGCAGCATGTTAACCCCACAGCGTAGATCCGAAGCCACAACTCCCCTATAAAATGACTTTATCTTCCTTTGGTTCAACCAGGAGACGTGGCTGTTACTGCTTGCCTTTTCCAGAGTTGATGGGGAAGATTCATCCTGACAATCAGGAAGGAGAATGAGTAGCTTTTTAAATCACAGAGCTAAACACAAAGACCCTTATGCGCTGCTTTGTTGCATGAGAATAAGTTGAATGTGGGCAATGCCATCGATACTCACAGTGACCACATTTCCACACATCATCAGACTGAGGTTCTTTGTGAAACAGTTGACGAGATCCAAGAGAGCTGGACGACTGCTGGGAGGACCTGTGAGCACCAAACACTGGGGCCTTGGGGGAGCAAAGGCATTCAGAGCCAGTGTCAAAACAGGAAAAGTAGTGCAGAACCATAACAAAGCACCTTTTTATCCACTTGTATCAGCTTCTGTACATGATATGAATTCACAGAAACAGCTTAAAATAACAAAATGGGAAGAGAGACGCAGCTGGAGCCATTTTACAAATTTGTCCTGGGCTTTTCACCAGGTCCACACGGAGTGCTTGTTTCCCAAAAACCTGAGTCATAGTCCTGCTTGACCAAAGTAAACAATTCCAGCTAAACTCCATAGAAAACTCTGTCAAAAACTTCTTTAAAGGGATCAGATGAAACCCCAGGATGTCACCCTTGGCTGCAGTTCTCTAACAGTGCGCCTCTCATCAATTTGACCTTCTTTGTTATCTCCTGAGGAGTGTATCACTGACCTGTAGTTCTTGACGTGGTCCTCCACAAGGTTCAGACCCACGCAATGATTCAACGCCAGATTGTAGGAGCTTGCTTGGAGTGATGAGCCCCAGTTTACATCTGAGCCAAGCAAGAAATATGAATGAAAGCTTTAATATGACAATAAGCTATACTTTCATGGAAATATATAGATTTTTTTCAGATTACCTGGCTTTTTGTACAGCGTGTATCCCAAGAGGAATATAACAACTCCGATCGCGATAAGAGCCGCCCACCAGGTCAGCAGGAACATGATCACCACACAAATTACAGCACAGAGTAGCGACAGCCACTTGCTGTAGAATCTGAAGGACGGACGCCAACCTGCAAATGTGCAAATAAACACGACACACACTTCACAGTCAGAGAAACCGCCCTTGTTTTACCGACATTATCAAATGCTCAAGGGCACAGCTTCATGCAATGTGATGTAGACATTAACTTGAACATAAAATGACACACAGCTACATCATGTTATGCACTTATGTGCTTGACATGATTCATAAGTTACACTCCAGGGAAAATATAATTTTCACCTTTAAGATCTTGTCTGCTTTTGGTCATTTGTTGTTCACGTCTCATCATTATACACCAAAGTAAAGGAGTAAATGTAAATTGCCGTTTTTGGGATTTCATTTATTAAGGGTGTAATCTGACCCCGTGTGAGTTCTGGTTGTGAATATTTAGCGGGCGACACATGGCTTCAAGCATTTTCGATAACAGCCAATAACTCCTTTGTGTCGCTTTTGCTTTTGTCTTGTTAGTCCACAGACTATTTTTTCAAAATTCTTGGGACCATCAAAAATATTCATGGGGTGAATGAGACCGGCCTTTTTATGAGGTCAGTAGCGATTGACCTCGGTTGAGGCCCACCCAGCTTTACATGTTGTTATTGCTATTTTATGACCTCCTATCTAAAGGACCAAAATGCAGTTTTGAAAGCTTCTCTGTTCCATGGTTTTTGTAATCATTTATAGACTCTCACCATGGTTCAGTGAGGACATAGAGTCCTAGAAATGTTTTTGCATTTTTCCAGAGCTTTATATTTTTTTTTGTTTTTAATGTGTTCTTGAATTGAATCATAGTATGACATGTATTGCCTTTTAAGATCTTTTAGCCTCCTTTGTGTTGCCAGGAGTTTTATCTAAATGAATTACTATTATTAGTTTAATCGGGCTTAAGCATGGCTAGTTAAAATGAACATCCATTCAGGTCCTGGTTGGCTTTGAAACTGGCTTTTCTATTTATTCAGGCTGCTTTTGTCTAATACAAAATAAAAAAAAAATGTAAGTGTGACAGAAAAGCAACTACAGAAGAAATCTGCAAGAGAGCAAATATCTTTTGACCTACCAGGTGAATTGGTGATTGACGCATGGAAGCAGCTGAAATTGATCAAAGAGTAGGAGCAGAGGTAGAAGTTGGAGATGATCGGAGCGATGGTATTCAACTCAGCTGATAAAAGATAACAGAAATATTTTGTCATCAGCTCCTCTTTACTGTGTGAAAAGCATGAACATCTTGTTTAATATTAAGTTAGGTTGTTTCAGGTGGTACGACAGGAATAATTAAAATTGCATTGTATGCATGATGAACAGATAACTACCAATCACATCAAATATACTGATTATATTATATAAAAGGGAAAAGAAATCACATTAAGTTACCAAGAATTTAAACTGTATCTTGATACTGAAATTATTTTTGTTTTCATTGCTCTTTCACTTAGTTGTTGCTGTAACATTTAAGACTTCATTTTGTGGTCATGAAGAATATCTTTTCCAAAAACTAAAACCACCTACAAGCCAACATGCTGTGGGATTTGGGTAGAAAATACATTAAACATCTGTCTTAATGACCCACCAATGATAACAAAACAGGCAGCTATGATGTACGTCAATAGGTAGGCTCTGAGTGGTTCGTGGTTTTTGCCGTATCCTTTGCCGAAGAAACCAATGAGAGGGTAGAGCTGGTCCTTACAGAGACACTGTAAAGCAGAATGTAATAAATAAGACAAAAACACCAAACAAAAGATGCAGCGCCATTTTTTTCACATCTGCACAGTGGTGTTTGAGGAAATGTGTTTGTACCTGAAACACCTTGGGAGCAGACACCAGGCATGCCAAAGCTGAGGACAGAGTTGCTCCAAATATACCGGCAGTGATGAGAGGGGCGAAGGCTGACACCATGCTAAGTGACTAATCACAGAACAGGTCTTGTTTACCAAACACCTACTTCTCGTCAAAAGCGCTATCCAGTTTTATATGGTTCACAGGAAATGTTTATTCTGATTGGACATCTATCCATGTGGCAATAAACAACTTAATCTTAGAATTTGATCAAAAACAGACACAAAGCTGCAGTTACAATTGATGTAAATTTTATGCCATCATATTGCCGCCCTAAACTATAAGGATCTGCATCTCCTTATAGTTTAGAGGCATTAATGACTATTCACATTTTTATTGCGATTAAATAATGTCAACAAAAACAGCACTTCACAATTTTGGATATAAGAACAGTGTGCAGCAGCATGATCGTTTGGGTTATAACTGACCTGGTAGTAGTTACTAATGCCATAGGTGCAGGTATTATTGTTAATGCACTCGGTGAAATCCCATCCATACTGACATCCTAAACCTACGCAGGCGTCCTCGGGCGTTGAAGAGGACAAAGTATCATTTAGAGAGCCAGAGGCATCCCGAACCACACACGATCCTGCAGAAAAGTTAACATACAAAGGAAGAAATCCAGTATTTGCAACCACCAACAAACCCTTACTACACAAAGCAGACATAGAAAAGGAAACCATTATTAGCTAGGGATTGTTAGTTCAGTGCTGGGAAGGTTTTATTCAAGTTTACTCAAGAGAAAACAAAAGCAAAACATGTTCAAATAGTACATTTGAAGCATACTCTCCATGCATATTTGCCCCATACAGCAGTAAGCTTACCAACAGTTGCAGAGATGACAATGTAGGAAAAGGTCGTCCAGAAAATCGCCAACAGTGTCCCTCGAGGAATAGCTACTGTTGGATTCTAAGACAGAAAACACATGAGACGTACAAAGTAAACTGCTTCTATCCAACCACATCAATATTTATTCATGTGTTTGTTTGTTTTATCTGTGGGGGGTACGCGTGTCCCCCATATACTGCTGGAATATAAGAAAGAGGAACAAAATACACTTGCATACCTTCAGATCTCCAGAGATGTTGGCTCCTGCCAGGATGCCCGTAGCAGATGGGAAGAAAATCGAGAACATGCCAAAGAAACTGCCCTCTGGACCCCGCCAGTTGGGTACAAAATTGGCAGCAAAAATACCAGCTGTTGAAGTTGAAATAGTAAAAGTTACAGAAGACATGGGGCAAAGAGATAGTCTTGTCTATCTTGACTTAGAACTTGTAACCTAGATTGGCCATTTCATTCTGAGGATTCATATCTTTATTATAGGCATGTTTCATGTGTCAAAAGTATAAAGTTGCCAGAAAAATCACTCATTACAATATGAATTACAATAGAACAATCAAATAAAAAAAAAAAAAAAAAAAAAAGAATTGAACTACTAAAATGGAAGGAAATTCAATGGGCACATTAAAAACTTAAATATTGTGTTCAGCTAGAGCAAAGTTCCAACAATAGCTACCTTGGTAGCTAAAGAATCCTTTGGCTTGTTTCTCCAAAGTCGGAGGCATGATGGTTCCAACGATGTAACTGGCAAATGACACCATGATGACAAGGAAAAACAAAATCTGGGCCTGTGGAGGGCACATTGCAAAGTACCGTAAGTGTGCATTGTAGACAAACATTTAAGAAAGTTTATTGCATAAAACTGGGTTTTATCAAAATCTCTCAATGTTGCACATTTTTTTACGCATGAACATTAAGAATATCATCAAAGACTCATTTGAAAAGGTTTTTGTTCGTATTTGTGTCCCACTCTGCGGAAGTCTCACTATATGCAGCTGTTTGAGTAAATTCACAGTTGAGTTAAATTGATTTAACCTTTCACCCCAAAAGGCAGAAAGCTTTGGTGGCGCACGGCTTTCTGTTCAAACACAGCTGAATTTATTCCCATCAACCTTTTATGTGCCACAGATCACTGAGTAGACGATACTGTAACGTTTCTGGAAACGGTCAGGCAACCTAGATATCTGAAGTCCGGAAAGGGAAATCAGTTTCATGTACACAGCAAAAGAACTACGAGCTACTATTTTATTTAACGTCTTAAAAATGTGAATGGAAGTTTTAAAGTTCCACCCAGTTTTTTTAAAGACACAATAAACTTTAACTATATGTTTTATGTTGGGCTCATCTAGAGGTCAGCAACGTTTATTATCCTGAGAATCATCACTTTTGTTGGTTGAGCTAAAATTAGATTAGAGCAACAGCAGATGAAACAAGTGACCTATTTTTTTGTTACTTGGGAATGTGTTTTGATTTTTAAATTAAAGGCTGGCAATTTAGTTTTTGAAGGAAAGAAATTATCATACTGATGGGAGTGGGAAAAATACTTTCTGCGACAAAATGTTAAACTTTATAGAAAATTATGTAAGAAGAAAAAGCCAGCATTACCAAATTAAAAAGGACACTATTTCAAACTATTGATCTGACTTATTTTTCAGAAATGCCATGCATATCTTTGCAGCGAACTCGCAGGATTGATGAATTCTTGGAGCACTGATCTGACCTTTGACTCCCACGCCATGCCTGCCATTGAAATCCCTAGCAGCAATGTTACGGTGATGATCCCAATGATGCGGATGTCGTTCGTTCGGTCCACCATGACAGCGTCATGTTCCTAAGAAAGAAGTACATATAAGGAGTCTCTGCTTGCTTTATTGTTTCACTGGAGAACCTGGTTTCCACATGCATGTGGAGAATGCTTCTCACCCTCATGAGGTCGGTGACAGTCTCAGCAAAGCCCACAGTGTGCATTGCCACAGCCACAGCATTGGCAAAAGCAAAGATCAAGCCAATAGAGCCGCCCAGCTCTGGGCCGAGGCTGCGGCTTATCAGAAAGTAGGTACCGCCTTGGGACATGAGGTGAAAAAAAATCTGGTGAGATGTTTGTGACTTTTCCACATTGAAAATGGACTATCTTTCAATAACAAACCTCCTTTGACTTTTCCGTTGGTGGCTATGGCTGAGGTGGAGAGACCAGTGATCCCGGTTATAGTAGACGACAGCAAAATGATGACCCAGGTCATACCTGTCAGAGGTGGGAAACAGTCTGAGTAAGGTTTAATTCATCCACTGAAAATGTAATGCAATTCAGCATACATGCAGACCAGTGACGGTTATGTCAGTCAATTCAAGCAAGGAGCTGGCAGTTCTGGAGCGGAAGACTTTGGTACAGACGGTCGCTGTCTGACAGTCAGTCGGTGAGGTATTTGAAGGTCTTCATTTACAGAACATGCCTTGTAAGATGCATTAGCATTATCAGCACTCGATGCAGTTTGGTTGGAATTGTTTTGTGACATTGTGGTTGATAGTGCTGTGCAGTTTGTCAAAATGCCAGCTATTCTCCATACAACAGGCAATTCTGAGTCCAGCCATTCAACTGAATATAAACATGAAGTGCATCATTTATCAAACCCTGACAAGTGCTGTCCATGCTATCTGGCATGTCTGTGAGATTTTCTCAATGTTCGGAGAACTTCACTTACCACCGATCAATTGTTGGGAGTTCTTTTCCACCTCGTCTGTCACAATTTGCAAACTCTTTTCACCAGATCCTTGCAGACTGAATTCTTTTCATAGCCACATTTTTTTCGACGTGTTAACTAAATAATGCTTAAAGTCGCTTAAAATCCAGAACAAACACTTGAAAGTGCGTCGCACCAGGAATGTTTAACATACCGATACCAGCCTGAGCTGTGATCCAAGGCAGTCTCAGGTACAAGATCACCCCCCAGATGTTTAACATGCAGCGAATCTGGGTACAAACAAGCAGGATTATCACAATGACGAGCCAAAGGTTAATAAAAAAAAGTTTAATTTCACTACTGGCAAAAGAGACAAAAGTTATGACCGAGGGTGCCAGACGTTTATATAAAATTGTGTTGCATTTTACTATCAGGTCATTGAAATACACCAATTAACTTATATAAAAAAATATGAGGGACAAAAAAAGCTCAGTGACACATTTAAATAAATCAGTAACTACGTTTTAAGAGCCATGCTAAGAGCTTACATCATTGGAAATGAATGGATCTGAACTCTATAGTTCAATGGAGTGTGGAAAAGGTGGTAAAAAGTGTAATTTTAGCACGTTTTTTGGAAAGTCAACGTGTTCAGGTTTAGGATCAAAGCCGATCGGTGTACTTCATTGAGACATTCTCTGTAATATGATAACATTAAGCTTATACACATTTGTACATTTCTTTTTATTAATGTTGCAACGGTTTTCCCAAATTGCACTGTGACTGAATAATCACTAGCTGACAAGCATCTTGTAAATAACAAAATATTTAAAACAAACCAGGACTGACAACTTGAATTTGTATTATCAGACCATATCCATTGGTTTGCTTTATCCCACTTACATGATTGAAGTTTTGATTACGTTTACAGATGAGTGCATATGCATGTTGATGGCTTCATATTAAGCAATATATCAGATCTAAATCAGCAGCAGTGATTTAGATGTGCTCCAAAACACCTGATTCAGCTTCTCGGCTCTACAAGAACCTCCTGCTGACCTGATTACATAAATAAGTTGAAATAGGAAAACATTTGACAAATGTAGGACACAATCCCTCAAGGACAAGATCTGCCCTTCTCGGACTTACTGTTTCACTGACAAGCATAGTTAAAGTTTAATTCTTCATTTCTGCATAAAACTTCCTTAAGAAGAGCAAAGAAGCTGACGAGGAGCAACAAATCTTTAAAGCAGCCATTTGTAGTTGCTTCAGGGTTTCGGCAGGTTATCTGCTTTAAGATGTACAGACTGGACAAACCTGCACAATAAAGTTACTGAGTGCTACATTTTTACAAGTAGGTGCATTGTAAGTCTCATCTGGGAAATATTTCATAGGGTTTGTTTAAAAAACACTTGTTGATGCTCAGTCAAGACTTCTGACGCAACAGTATTTCCCCCCGTCGACGTTTCCTTCCAGAAAACCGTAAAACTTTTCCACGGTTCCGACTGTTTGAGAGGTTGTAAACACAACCGGGCCGCAAACACCATAATAACCTGACTATAAGTTGCAACTTTTTTTACGCTTTTTTTTGTTTGATTTTTGCTTTCCTTTTTACATGCGACTAATACAACGTGGAAAGCAAAACCTCAAGGGCGAATTCACCTTAATGCAAAAGTGTTAATGGAAGCAAAAACGAATGGACGTGCGCGAGGCTGTTCAATGCAAACGCAGAAGACGACAATCTCAGTAGTTTCAGTGCGCAGGAAGAAGATCGAGATAACTTTTCTGGTTCCCTATCCACAATGTAAACTACTCCTCATCACTTTCAAGGCCATCCTGTCCCAGCGCCTCTGCATTCACTCTTCATTAGGTTGCTCTGCCTTCGTTGGCCTCTCTGTCCACTTCGTCTGTCTCAGTGTCATGAGGCCAGAGATTTCTCTTGCTCCACTCTGGAATCAGCTGCCACCTGATCCGTAAAACTGACTCCCTTCCTCAGTCTGAAAACCTCCTCTAGACCCATTTTCAGATCCATATAATCTCTGTTATGTTTGATTTATGTAAGTTGCTGATAGTTTGCTGGTTTTTTGTTATGTCGTTTTATTTTTTGTTCACTGTCTTTTAGTGTTTTGAAAGATGCTTTAATGCATTATTATTATTATTATTATTATTATTATTATTATTATTATTATTATTATTGTCCGGATCAATATTTTTGAGCAGCCATGTTACTGTCAAGCCAGAATAGCCGGTGGGGACCTACAGGGGGACCCACGCAAACTTACAGTACTCTTAGAAGATGTTTTTTGAATTACTTTTAAGTCAAATGGGAGACATTTCATTACGGATTACAAATCACAGAGAGAAATGACACAAGACAAATGAGTTACAAAAAAAGAGGGGAAATTGTTTCCCTCCAATGGTTTGAAGCCCAGTTTACCTTTTTCGAACTGAAGACGCCGACTAGAACATTGATGATGCATCTCTTTAGGAATTGAATCCATCACAGCTCCTAACTTTACGTTAGGTAAGTCTACCTACCATGACTCCCTGCACCCAACCAAAGCGGGTGGGTTCAGCTGGGGGCTCCTTTTGCTTGTCCTCATCTTCAGACGTGTCTCCTTCCGTCTCCTCATACACGGGAGGTCTGGAGTCGTCCTAATCAAATTAAGTCTTATTAGGTCTGACGACGTGGAGATGTAAGAAAGTATAGTTTAAAAAGAAAGTTTAGTGTGATTGGTGTCATATGCGCCTAGTATAAAAGCAGTATAATTTGAGACAAAGCAGTGACTCCATTAAGCACAACTAGAGCTAAAATAAAATTCAATATCACCGTGCTGAGTTGGCAACCTTGCAGAAATAATGTCCAAGTCATACATAGATGAAGATTTAAGATGTACATTTGACTTGATTTCCTCATTGAAAAGGTATTGAATACATGAACTAATAAAGAGTAGATGTCCTTACCTCAGGATTACCATGCAGTTGATGCAGAGATGGCCTGAAGCGTCTCTTGCGACCCCACGCCTGACTGTTGGCGTAGAAATCATAGTGCGGTGGAGCGTCTAGAGTATCGTAGACACTTGGAGCAATAGATGGACGGAATGCCATTCTACCGCCATCACCGTAACACTGATAATAATCCGACTCATTAAACCCCCCAGACGATCTTTTACCATCAAGTTCTGACAGTGGAAGGTTGGTTCTGTATGCAGACAAGTTGACATTGTCATTAGCAGTTGGATGCTCCATTGAAAATGTCGCAGAAACCTCAGAAAAATTTCAAAACCGTGTCGGTGGATGAGAAGTATTTCCCTCACATCCAGGCGGCAGCTCGTCAATGAAGTTGATTATGGAGTCGCAGTTTAAAGAGGAAGGCTTTATTACGAGGGCTGGGTTTAAAAATGACCTCAAAGTTGCAGGAAGAGCCTCGGGCCATATAAGACGTTCACTTGTTCAGTGAAAAGTCAAACAAGACTCATTACAGGAATTATTAAACCTGACATGAACAGTTTCACATTGAAGAGGTCAGCCAAGAAAATCTGTAGGACTGAAAGCCAGATATGTGATTTAAAAGCAATTCACAAAAAACTTTTCTGCAGGTTCTTTTTCCCTTCTACCCCAAATATTAAACATTTCAAATAAGATTTTAAAAAATATTTTTAAATGCCATTTGAAGTTCTTTTTCCTGGTTTTATCATCACAGCTATTAATGATTAATCTCCTGTGTGTGTTTTTTTTGTGAGATTAGTTGTAAATAGCTTAATTACACTTGAATGAACGACGTGCATGACGCTCTTGACTGAAACCAAACAAGGTTGTTAATGGAGCATGTAAAGGTCAAGAAAATATTCATCTTTTATGCTTATTTTGGAAAATATGGACACTTGTTATTCAAGAAAAAGTGGTTTGTCATCTGGGAAGTTGTCAGTTCGATTCCAATCTCCCAGACGACCATATGTCCGAATGTCCTTGAGCAACACACTGGGTCCAGATGTGCCACAAGTCAGTGATTTGTGAAAAAGTTCATAGATAATGTGACTGGCAGTAAAAACAATGAAGTTGAAAAAAAGAAGTCACATTAGAAAATTGGTTTTTATAATGAAGCAATTTTATTTAAAAGTAAACGCACGTTTTTAACATTCTGCTTTTTCACTGGAGCTTAGTTTCTGCACAAATTTTATTGCATCATGGTTGATTGACAAAACAAGAAAACAAGCCCATATCGTAAAAAGCCCATCACTGGATACTTGTAGCAAATTGATGTTTTGTAGTTTCAGGGAATTTCCTCCCTGTACAGAACACATTCACCTTGAAAGTCATCTGAACAAGCTTGACTTGTTTTCCCCCCCCCCCATTTTGCTGTCATGAATGCAACATAAAGTGAAACAGCGTTACCTAATCTAATAAAAATCATATTACCATGTTCCTTGCAACTGAAACAACTCCGTTTTATCCTGTTAATCAACTGCATGGGCAGCTGAGTGGTGCATTTCCACTTCTGCTCTTATTGACATGAAAGACAAATTCCAGTGAAAGGTGTAGATCGGGTACCCCGAACTGCTGCTTTACGTTTTCAAATATCGCTCAATCATTAAACCTGGCTGCAAGGAAAGTTTGGATTTAAAAACTTTCCTTGAACCATTAAACATAAGGAGTTGTCTTTATTGCGGCTTTTAAACAGTCCAAACCAATAGTTGCTGTATTGTCTCATCTAGAGCTCTGGACATCTCAGTCACACGGCAGCTCCGTCATTGCACAAACGGGTTGCAGGAGAAGGCGGGCACTCAGTCTTTCTCTCAACACAAGTCTAAGGTGCAATGAGAAACCAAGGTCACTTCCTCTCCTGCTAATATGTTACCCAATTATGAATTCCCAATTCAAAATGTGAACCTGTAATATTGTTTTGGTGAAGCTTCTTACAAGACTGGAAAGTACAGCTACAGAGTAAAATGCTTGAACCAAAGCTGGAGAAAAAAAATAAATAAATCAGGAAACTCCATATTTTTCGACCCCAAAGTAATAAGACACCAAAATATATATATATATATATATATATATATATATAACAAATAGATTAAAGTTACTACTGAACGCCTAAGTCTTTTCAGCCCATTTAACCAGAAAAGGCCCCAGTTTAATTTAGTGGAAACGCTATAAAGATTAGATGGTTAATAAGTAGGCATACCAGCACAACTCGTTGGCCACACGTTAGCCGTTTAAACAAGAGATAAAAGTTAAGCTGAGGCACGTGGTTCACCGATTTTACCAAGTTATATTTTCATTTAGGTGGTTAACAGATGTCCCTGGGTTTTGCAGTAATAAAAAAAAACAAAAAAAAACAAAAGATGCCCATATAGACGAGTCAAAAACAAATTTTATTTGAGAAAGGGGAATTTTAGACCCTGTTCCTTGCACTTCCGGTTAGCCTGCATTGCCTGGAAGAGAGAGTCATCGTTAGACATGAGATTCAAATTACATTGAGGTCCAAAAGTGTAAGCAGCACTCACCTGCATCATTCTTTGGAGAGTCTCTGGTTTATTTTTAAGCCAGCAAAAGTCTTGGGTTTCAAACATGCATTTTACTAAACCAGAGCCCTGAAGTGCAACTGCTTTAGGTTGACAGGGCTGTGCAAAAACTCCCTGTTGAACCAGGGTCACATCAGCATGTGATGAGAAATTAGTGAAAACATGCAAGATTACAATTCAGCAGACTTTCAAACAATGACCACGTTGCTGGTGGGAGCTGATTAGTGATAATACCTGGAACGGTTCACATTTTGAAGAACACATTTTATTAAATATTTAAATGAGCAGAAGGAAAAAGGCGTGAACAGACTGCACAATTTAAGCCAAACTTCAACATGTTCATGACCTGACAGCACCAATGGCAGTGTATTGTTATGACTCGCATGCACCTTCAAGCCTGTTCTCATCCAACAGGGTATTGCTGAAGCCTAAAGCCATTTTGAGCAGGCTGGTAGCCTGATCGAGTAAAAATGCGCTCAAAAGTACTGAAAGGAATAGAAATAGAAGTTGTCTCTGCCTTTGGCAAGTAACTAACCCTTTGTGGAAAATTTGTGTTCCCTTTATAAGGTTCATTAACGCATCTACCAACACCGTCGATGCAAGGTTCTTGACTGCAAGGCTGAGATTCTGCATTTTGGTCAGGGTAGCGAAGGCCTGAAAAAGACCCGTCTTGGCCAAGCCAAGAGAATGAAGATTCACATGGGGGTCGTACATTGAAGGATGTTCCTGCAGCGTTCCTGGTCGGGTTCGTCTGCCCAGAGACCAAACCTCCTTCATTAGGGTCAAAGGGTTTCACATAGTAATCTTTTCCCACTTCGTCTTGCTCAGGAAGTTTCTTTTGCACTTGATATCCACTTGGCAGACGGTGCAGAGCAGCTACATCTTCAGAAGCATAAGAAATTGGTGTCTGCCATGTTTGTGGCCTTTTTGCAGGAATAACTTCCAGCATGGGAGAATTAAAGGATGAACTGCCATAAGCGAGCGGGTGGTGATGTGGACTTGAATCAATCTCAGCTTTCTTTTGGAGATTGCTGTGTGGTTCAAAGGGATTGTCATGCTTAGAAGCAGAAAGGCTGGCTGACGGTCTAGGATGACTTTCCACATAGCTGTTAACGACGGGCTTGAGAGAACTGTAGAAACGCTGAAGCCTTTCAAATTGCTGTGGTTTTGGCTGGATGGTTTGGTATTTGCCATTTAAGGGTCGTGTAATGTCAGCGAGGTATTTCGAAATTGCCAGGCCTGGAAACCGAGGCTTTCCAATCTCTGAATCTCTTGGAAACCAGGATGAAAAGCTTGGCTTGCTGCCTGTAGGTTTGCCAGTGACAGGCTCATAAGGTGGTGTTTTTTTCTGTTTTGGTTTTAGTTCAATCTTTAGGATCGGCCACTTCCTTTCGGGAAGCCCAGTCGTTCTGTGGGGCCCAGCATCAAAGCCGAAAACTGACTTTTTAAATTCACTCTCAGGTGATTGAAGCTTTTTTGCCTCCGTGTAACGAGTCAAAAGAGACTCAACATTTTGAGGTTTGATAGTCAAGTACCCACCACCTTCAGGGAGATTTGACAAAGTTTTAACAGGGAAGGAAAATCCTAGTTGTAGGCTGGGAACAGCAGAATCTTGTTCCTTTGCACCTTTTGGATCACTTGTGAAATCTTTGACATTAGCAGCACCAGAAGTGGTGTAACTGTTTTGGGTCAGACCAACACTTTGAGAACCAGCACCAACATATTTGTCGTCTTGAGATCCTTTGTTATCTTGCAGAGGAGACAAATTTAGCTTTTGTTTTGAATGAGGCTGAACAAGGTCTTCTCTCACGGGGCTTTTTTGGGCTTTATTGAGACCCAAACGTTCAAGATACTTAACAAAAGACAAAGACGGCGGTCTGGATGAATTTGGTTTTTCAGGTGCCAAACTCTGCCTGGCTGTGGGATTATCATGGTTTCTTTGTGGGGAAATTTTGTGCTGGATTAATTGCCATGTTGAAGAGGTCAGTTTGCCCTCAGTAGGTTGGGTGTAAGTTGACTCATCTGGCTGCTGTAGAGTTTGCTTGGGTCCAGTAGCAGGATAGCGAGACCATGTTGAACCCAGTTGCTTTCTGGTTTGTTCAAGTGCTTTCTGGCTGATGGTGGGGGATTTCAGTTCAGTATATATGGAACTCAACCTTTTCCCTAGATCGCCATAACTGGTCTGAAAGATATTTCCTGGGTTTTGGTTTTCAACGAGCTTGCCAATGGCTTTTATTGGCTTTAAAGATGCAGCGGAAAGGGGGATGGTAAGGTTGACCCAGAAGTTTGAAGTGGGAACACCATGGATGCTCCTGCCAAGTTTTGGATCCTTTTTGGAATCTCTCTCAGGGCTTAGAAACTCAGAAACGCTGAGGCCACGTTGAACGTTTGGGTGAGTTTGGAGTCTGGGGTCATTCTGCAGAAAGACTTTGGTGGGAGAGTCGGTTTCTTTCATTTCATCGAGTTTATAAAAAGGGAGATCCAAGCTGACCCTGAAGCCTCGGGGTTGAACCAAAGTGTAGTTTCTAGGTGGTGCAGGTTGGACTGGAAGGTTCTGTGGCCAAAGATGACGTGGAGTTTGCCTAAACGTCTGGCCAGGGGTCGAATCCCTTACGCCACTCCTTTGAGGCGTTTGTCTCATGTTGATCAGATTATTCTTCGGCTGTCTCAGAGAGCGAACATAATGCAGAGGGTGGTGGTAACCCAGTACGTCCTGTTTCTGTCCTCCATCTTGCCGTACTTTGTACCCAGTATTGGCTGCAAGAACAGATCATGTCAATAATCTGTATACATTTACTTCGTTCAGACTAAAGTTATGGTGCCCTGTGAATACTCAGTTATTGTCACTTTGTTGGCACATTTTCTGAGTGTTTATCAAAACCCAGAGAGCACTGGTCAAATTAAAAGTGGTTTAAAAAAAAAAAAAAAAACGAGTTGCCATGTTGCTAGTAACAATAACGCCACAAAAACCCATAGACTGGATTTTGCAAAGCAGTGTTTATGCTTCCAAGGCCAAATTTTTCAGGGACCTTTCAGGTCCAGTTTGCAAATAAAATTCATGCAGAATAGTTCAATCACACAGAAGGGATGAGTACATCAATTTTAAGCATAAAGCCAAAGTTATGTTTGATTTTACATGCATGAATTTAGAACAGTATTGGAATTTCCCTTTTGCATGACATGGTTTGTTTAATAAAGGCTCAAAGGTGACTTACAAATCAGTTGGCAGCCTACATATGTAGGAGAGCATTTCAATAGGGACAAATTGCTTTTTACATGTGCCTCAGGCATTGGCTAACATCAGTTTTAATGGGTTTTAGCAGTTCAGACTGTGCCTGAAAAAAGTCATTACTTTTTTCACCAGTTTCACATGTTGCAAAAAGGCAAATCAAGCTTACCTCCTGGGACAGCAGAGGCATGAGTCACTTCCTGTATTAGGCAAAGCGTCAATATTCTGTAAGATAATTGAAAGGGATTTTTTTTCTCCCCCCAAATATTATATTTCAGCCTAAAATATTGACCAATCACTGGACTAACAAACCAGTCTGTTCTGCGGCAGATTCGTTACCTTGAAATCATGAAGCCAGCAGACATGACTGCTGCAGCGGCACTCAGCAAGTGTCCTCTGAAACTTTCCAGCCACAAGTGCACAGCTGCCCTGTCAGTTTTGCTCCAATTGAAAGATAAACTCAGGTTTAACCACCATTTATGCCAACAAGGACCTGCGAAAGCTTTGCAGGGTGCCAGTCTCCCACTCTAATGAGATGAGAATCAGAAAGGGAACCAAAAAAAAAAGGCTCACACAGGTGTAATCACTTAGTGTGATTGCTCTGGCTTATGGTGGGTTTTTTTAGAGAAGCAACAGGCAAGGACGGATTCGTCCTGTTAAAGTCCTGCAGACTTGGAGCTTTTCTGAGCACAGGGTGAAATTAATTTGCTTGTGTATTCTCACAAGTATTTTTTCCAACCAGAACAAGAGTCCATCCCAGTCTGTAAACACTCATCTTAAGTAAATTATTTCCTTCTTATTTGGATATCTTATAATTTGTTTCCTCCCTCTTTACTGAGAAGAGTTAGGAGTGGTGTCCTTTTACATTTCCGAGCAAGCCTCATTTTCACCCATTAAAAACATTCAGACCGAAACAAAAATAGAAATTGCCTAACCATGTATTTTATCTGCAACACTAAGGCATTATTTCATAAACAATAAAAAGACGACTTAATGAATTTCATAAATCATGAAGGCAGTTTTGACCAGTGCAGTACAGTTTTGTGCAGCAGGACTGGAACTCATTTTGCACTTTGAAGCACTTCAAGGTCACGAGTGTCCTTAAAGTGCTGGCCTTGGCAGAATGCATTGTTTAAAATATAAATCATTCCATTTGACGAGTACGTTTTGAAGTTAAATATTCAAAAAAAAAAGTTAGAATGTAGCTTTGATAAATTAATATTTGAGCACATAATCTATTTATATGTCTGTCTGACCTCAAGTTCAGAGAGCTACATCAAAACCATACGGTGAGCCACATTAGGCCCACGGGCCTCGAGTTTGACTCGCTATGTACAGTTTAAAAGCTTGTCCTATCTGCGCGTGCAGTGTTGAATCTTACGGCCCATTTTAAGTCATATTCCCACTTGTGAATGCTTAGAGAAGTAGGAATTGCATTAAAATGCAATAAATAATAAAACAAACATACCCCTGTTGTGATTCTTCTCTCATGTTCTTATTTAAAAATATATATATATGTAATATTGCTGAAAGTGCAATATTAAATTTAAGAATTTTTTCTATCAAAAGTGTCACTTTCACGCAGAAAATTTATTATTCTTCTTCTTCTGTGGAGTTTGATAAAACTGCACAGCAGAAAGAATCCGTAAAGGCGCAAAGAAACATATCCTCCTCTCTGATCATTTTTCCTTGGAGGGGACTGAATAAGCACTTCCTGCAAAAGATCATCAGACCAAATGAAAGTTGAATGGGGATTTCGTGTCCCTGCTCAACTTTCTGCTGAGTTGCTAGATCAATAACACCTGGGAGCCACCTGCTGGTGAAAAGCAAATAAAAGCAAAACCATATTATGCTTTTTTTTTTTTTTTGTCCCTTGAGGTGTGAAAGCTTTCCTTGGCTGGATTATCTGGTGGTGTTGCTTGTCAACACTGGTGTGGTGTAGAGCCACAGAACTGGAAGGTTCTTTCTCAGGTTTGGGAGTTAAAGTCTGCAAACATCCGGTGGAGGAACGGGGCCAGTTGTTCTGCAACGTTTTAGGTGCTTGATGGCAGACAAGACTTCAGCAGGAGATGGGGGGCTGTCGCATATATTTCTGTGGTCGTCATTCATTGATTTAGTTCCAGTCAGATGTGTAAAGAAGTTATTGTATTGAGATTCATACAACTCACTGTAAAAAGTAGAGCGATACTTTGCTATTGTTTGGGGATCATCAGTGATAAAGTTACATTTCTTTCTTCATCTCTCCTGGATTTAGAAAGAGAGGCGCCAAACTCTGTGGAATATCGTGTGATTTCAAATTTAAGGAACTTGTTTCTAGGGAAATTGTTATCAATTAAGGCTGTTTTCAGAAACGGCTTATTAGTAATTCAACTTTATCAATTGCTAGCTCATTTCTTAAGGTGGAGTAGTTAAGTTTCCAATAGTAATTTTTGAATGTGGGAGCAATGTTAGGACTGAATGAGGCGATCAATGATATTGCTTTGTGATCGATTAAAGGTGTTAATATTCCAGGAGCAATGTTATTCTCATCTAAGCAATCAGAAACTAACCAGTAATCTATGCGAGACATCAACGTGTGATTCTTATTAGATCAGGTATAATCGCTATAAACTGGATTTTTCTCAATCTCCATATATGTTTGAGACTAAACTTTTGAATAAGTTAATGCTACACTACGTGACTCTTGAAAAAAGCAAAATTCAGAATTTTGTTGTTTTACCAATGACAATAAAACTTTTCATTCAACATTTTCTTAAGATTGAAAGATAAGATGTAGGATAAGTGGACACAGCAAAACAACCTTCAGATCCTGAATGGTGCCATTTAAACCACAAACAATGTCACTGTGACATCATCCGGATAAGCTCTTCCTTCGGAACGTTATTTCACTTCTTTTGTGACAGATTTTTTTCAAGGAGTAAAGTAACAATGAAACACGCAATACATTTAAATGATGATTAATTCCCAGGTTTAGTAGGTGGGTGTTTTACTTGGCGGCAATTTATCGAACTGTATCAGCCGGTTGTAGAGCTGAAAGGCAACCTATGTCCGCCGTCGCGGGTTATTTGCTTTCTTTTAGAGGAGAGAAGATATGTCAAGTTTCAAAATAATGATAAAGAAAAAAAGGTAGCATAGGATGGTGTCGATCCATTGACCACTGGGTTATGGGCCCAGCATGTTTCCACTGCGCCACTCTGGATGTGTCTGGGAGGTTTCGCACTCCTCACCTACTCTTGACAACGTGAGCAAACGGATACTCAACGCCGCTCATTAAACTGTACAGAAGTATGAGTGTTGTGCACGTGTGTGTATGTCTATGATGTTGGTCATGATAATAATAATAATTTAAAAAAACACTGCATAGTCTTTATTTTATAACATTAGCCAACTTAGTCAATTTGTATTAAAAGATACGTCAAATATAGCACGTTTGTTTGACACTTCCTGTTTCTATAACTTCCACAGAGCTAGCAAAAAAAAAAAAAAAAAACACAAAACATCGACATGATTGTCAAAAACCCAGAGAGAAGTCTACTTTGACACACTCGAGCCCATCAGAACTGACAAACGATGTAAGCGTTCAGGAAGCATTCCTTCGTCACTTCCCAGAAGCCGTCCTCTGACACCATGGTGCAGCCCACATCCTGGACGGACGCGTCTGGCTGCCCGGCTCCCCATTTGGAGAAGGTCAGAGGTCGATTATTTGCGTCAAGAGTGAAATTTCCCTGTGCTTTTTTCCTGTTGACGTTGATCCAGACGGTCCTGTATGCGTCGAACACTTCGGCCAGCGCGTTGTTTTCCTCGTCGCTCTGAGGTAGAGCCAACTCCAGCCCTCGCTGGGAGCAGAACTTCACCGCCTTCTCAAAAGGGTCTCTCACCTTGTTGGACACAAAGTATTTCTCGCCGACCTTTCGGACGAAGCTGTAAGTTATAGCTAAAGGAAAGAAACACTTTTTTTTAAAAACACAGTTTTAACATCAAAACTAAAACAGGAACAAGAGGCAAAAATAGATCAAGTATTTTATTGAAAACACCCAAAGTGAAATAGGCTGCTCATCCTCTGATTAAACATTTTTAGGACTGTGGCCATTTTTATTCTTGAGTTATTTTAATATAAATGGCTCAATGTATGACCTGATTCAATGTAATGAGTTCTAGTGTGCTCCAAAATGCATTAGAGTAGATCTTAATAGTGATACTTACCCAGCTCTAACTTGGTCAGTTGCTGCTGTATGGCCTTGATGTCAGGACAACTGCAGTTGACCCCTAGATCAAAATAGATTACAGGTTTTTTTCATTTTTTATACCTCTCAACAGGTAATAAAACAGTTGAGAAAATAATGATTTTTTAAGATTTTATATATGTTTTACTAGAAGGTGGAAAATTGAAATGAATTTATATTTATTATTAATAAACAGAAAAAAACTTTATTGACATCAAACT